AAACAACAAAATCCCCAAATGAAATAAACGACACCCCAGGGTTTCCACAGCCTCGTGGGAGGGGGTTCTGTCTGACGTCAGCACCCAGCTGAGGGGAGCTCTGGGGGTCTGAGTGGCCCACTGCAACCGGGGCTTCTTTAGTCGTGAGGATTATGGAGTCGGATCTGCGATACTGGTGGTCTCAGTCAGCTGAGACTTGCAAAACAAAACACTGCCGACGGGGTCAACAACAGACGTTCATTTCTCACAGCTCTGGAGGCTGGACGTTGAAGACCAAGGTGCTGGCTGGTTCGGTTCTCGGTGAGGGCTCACATCCTGGCTGGCAGCCAGCCACCTTCTTGATGTTGCCCTCACACGCTTTCTTCGGTGAGAGCATGTGAGCAGAGAGGAAGTTCCGACGCCTCTCTTCTTATGAGGGCACAAACCTCACTGTGGAGGCCACACCCTCACGACCACATCTAAACATCACACTGGGGACTGGGGCTTCAACCTGTGGATTTGGTGGTGGGGGGCACAAACATTCAGTCCCTAACACTGGTCCTCTCTGCCCCTCAGGTGCACAGAACTGTTACAGTACAGTCTCGGAGCACTGGGGCCTGGCTCGTCATGGTGTCATACAGGCAGAGTCCCTTCTCCCTGAGGGTCTGTGTCTGTGGCTTGGCCGCTTTCCTGTCCGCCCCTCAGGACACGGAGTGCCTGCCCACATGCCCTTCCCCTCGGCCCTACGCCAGGCGCTGCCACCTGCCAAGCTGTCGACTTCGGTGTGTGTGGGGATAGGACTCTCCAGGACTTCAGGGTGACCTTCCTCTACATGTCATATGTCTGTTTCATCTCAGGCAACACTTCCTAAGATCTTGCTCCTTAGATCTTGCTCGAATTTGAACGGCCTTACCACTTCCTTTTCACCGCCTCAGCTTCTGAGTTTTCTCTCCCTCAGAGACTTTTGTCCTTCTTTTCATAAGGAGGACCCTCCTTGGTTCCCATATTCACCCTCCCTAAAAACAGAGCCGCGGAGGGCCGGAAGGACCACAGGTGCCAGCCTGGATGAACGGGGTCCCCTCGAGAGGTTCGTGGGACACTGCCCTTATTTCGAGCCTGGCCCTGGCCGTGCCTAAGTCAGGAACGATTTCTCAAAGCCTTTCTGAAAAGCCAGGCCCCCCTTCTCTGACCTCCTACGTGACACGTGTGGATTGCAGACGGCCCCTTTCTGAAGGCGGCATGGCTCCCTCTCCACGCCTTTGGTTCTTGAACCCAGAGGAGGGGAGCTGGGGAGGGGCCATGGGGGAGGCAGAGACACTCCAGTCTGTGATCAGAGTGACCGTGCAGGGCCACAGGAGGGGGCCGGGAGCCTGGCAGCCACGAGGCCAGGGCATCAGGAGCCTGGGCTGGTGGCAGTGAAGGGACAGCAGAGTCTACGCCCTGTGCTAATCAGCATGAGGAAGAGCCTTGAAATCGCACTAGTGCCCCCCGGTGGCTTCTAGCCCTCTGCACTTCGAGTAGCTGGACGTGCCCCGGGCCAGCTCTGTGACTTTGGTCAAGCCTGTGTCTTCCCTGGGCCTCAGTTTCTTAAAAAGAAGGGAATTACAAGTGTCCAGGCTTTGGTAGGAACAGCAGGTCCAGGGGGACTGGGCCCAGCTAGCCCCATGCGCAGGGAACTGTTGCTGCTTCTATGACCCCAATTAGCCTTGGGGTGACCAAAAGGCTGTGATAACAAAATGTGGTGTAACAGGTCTCCATGGGGTGTGCTCCTGGGGCGGGGGTGGGGGGTCAGAGAAATCACAGGAAGAGTTCTGACAGGCCAGCCCCGCGGGGCACTGTGTTGAAGGGCCCCATGAAAAAGAGGGGCCACCCCGTGCTCAGATGTGGCTCCAGCGTGGCCCATGCGGGGCACCAGCCACCCATGCATGCGACCTGCTCAGCCCAGCTTCCAACACCAGACCGACATCTCCGACTTTCCTCGGGGAGCTGTCGCGAGGCCCTGGCCACACCTGGGGCACTGGTTCCTTTGTGGTAACACCATCAACACGTTTCACTGAGGTCTGCCATTTCCTGAACCTGCCCTCAGATGTCTTTTCTGTGGCCCACATAGTGGGTAGAACACTTTGAACCGGATCGGGCATTTAACAGTTGGGGGATTTCAGCCCTGGCCGGGCAACTTAGTTGGTCATAGTGTCGTCCCAATACGCCAAGGTTGTGGGTTCGATCCCCAGTCAGGGCACATACAAGAGTTGACCAATGAATGCATAAATAAGTGGAACAACAAATGAGTGTTTCTCTCGCTCGCTCTCTCTAAACTCAATAAAAACTCTTTTTTAATTGGGGGATTTCACACAATGTCTGGTTTTTCTTGAAAATCAGAACAGCAACAGCAGGACCGATTCCCATGGACAAGAAGGACCCCCTCTGGAACGCAGAATCTCAAGTATGCCCCGGTCGCCACTACTCCCTCTCGCCAGCGTCCAGCCCCGTGTGATTAACCTGCCTGCAGGTTCCTTGAACACGGGAGTTTTTGACCTTGGGAGGTCTCTCGAGTCTCAGCCGCCCAATTACCTATGATTCCTGAGGACACTTTTGGAGCAGTGGGGAGAGGGGGTTCGAATCCCATCTCGTCCATGTTGAGGCATCAGCTGAGCATGAAAGTGGAGCGGAGCCCACCTTCTTGTCACGAGAAAATCCAACAGGAGGCTCCTTTCCCACCTGATTCCTTTCTCCAAGCCACTGCCGCCGCCTTCTAGAAGGTCCCCTTCTCGGTCTTTGTGACTAGTGACCCTTTGACCTCTCTGACACAAGATCTCTGCAATCTAAGGTGGGAACACAATGCATCAGAGAACTGTGCCCCATGCGGGGTGAGCTGTGGTCACGGGAGGCCCTCAAGCCGGGTGGACCCACGATCTCGCTCTCCACTGGATCCTCCACCCGGTGTTTTGTTACTCGGGGCTCGGACCTCAGGGGCTCCCGCCGGCTTTCGCTACCCGGCCTCCACTTGGCAGTCGCGTGGGTAACAAGGCGGACTTGGAGGAGGAGGGCCCTTGGCCTTAGCAGTTCCCTCGGAATGCATTTCAAACACCTGTGATAACAGGGCTCGGAATTACAGCAGCCACACCCTCGCAGGGTTTATCTCTCTGCCCCTCCTGACGGCATCAGAGGATGGGTTGACACCCCTGTCACCTGCTGTTGAGCTTGTGCACTGTGCAGGGCTGCTGGCCCACCTCTCCCGGCCCAGGGCTGCACAGAACTGTCACAGTACAGTCTCAGAGCACTGGGGCCTGGCTCGTCATGGTGTCATACAGGCAGGGGAGCCGAGGGGGTTGGGAAAGGCTTCGGTGCTTCCTCAGGGCCTGGGGAAGGAGCCAAAGGCAGGGTGTTCTCAGAAAATACCTTTGAGCTCACAAGGCTTGGCACAGGGGGCGGGTCACCACGAAGCCCCTTGGATCTTGTGGTTTAGGGTCAAAGAATCCAGGTCAAGTCCCCTCTTCCCCCGGAGTCCTGGCACACTGCAGCCTTCTAGGCTCTGAGAGCTGCTTCCAAAGAACCCATGGAAGCACTTTTCAAGTTCGGTATTTCCCAAGCCGAATCACGCAGAATTCGATTTTAACGGAGCCCTCGTTAACCTCCTTCAGAAGCGTTCTGCCAACACATCTTGGGAAAGGCTGGTGCTATGGAAAACACCGGTTTGGAATTCCAATTCTGCTTCCTGATCGGGGCTTTGGGCAAACTGTCGAACCTCTCGGACTTCCATCTCCTGGAGGAGGTCATCATACCTGTCCAGCCGACACTCCAGGGCTGAAATGTGATCAGATTTGGGAGCTTCTGAAAACACACTGGGCTCCACCCCTGCCGCAAGACATTCAGGCAGAACCGGGGTGCAGGAATTGGAATTTACAGACACCCCCCATTGGAGGCCTACCTCGTCTGCACAGCGCCCGAGAAGCGGGCCTCCCTCCTAACCTTTCCCGAGTTCATGCCAGCTCATCCACGTCTCAGCTCAAGCGTCAGGTCAGACAGAGGGCTTTCCCGACACCTCAGATCCACAGGGCCACGCTGCTCCTCCCTCGGGCCCTTCTCTTCCCCGTGGGCCCACGCACACCGCATGGGACGGCCCCGGGGAGTTCCTGCTCTCTGCCTGAACCCCTCTCAGGTGAAGGAGCAGCCTTCAGCCCCACACCCACGTTTGCTCCCGAGCGCTCCTGGCAGAGTCCCGGGGTGAGGGCGCCCCTGCTGGAGAGGACGGGGATGTGGAGAGGTGCAGTGTGCTGCCACACTGAACATTCCCAGCACGGCTTCCCACCACCCCCGGCCGGCTTCCCACCCCCCCGGGCCGTCTGGGCCAGACTCGGCCTGGAAAGGGCCACCTAGGCTGTGCCTTCCAGACCTGCTGGCTGCTCCTGCCTGACCCTGCAACACGCACGCCGGTCACTGCTGACCGTGCCACCAGCTCTAGCTCCTCGTCCACTTCACCACCTTGGTTTCAGTCAAAATCAGGAGCAGGTGCCGGGGCAGGGGAGGGGATGACACCTGGTGCTCGGCCCCTGGACGGAGCTCACACCCCACACCTGAAGAAGGGCCGGGCCAGCGTCCGGGCTGCCCCTCCCCCTCAGCCACACAAGTGCTCGGCAGGTGTCCCCTCCACTTGTCCCATCCCCATGGAAGGTGCCACTGCTCACCTCCACACAACCCAGAGCGGAGACCACCAAAGCCCCTCCCCTGGGTCAGATGACCCCCTACTGCCCCCCATGTCTAGGCGTCAGGCAGGTGAGCCCTCCCCAGCGTGCCCAGGTCGGGCCTCTCCACCCTCCACTCCACCCTCCACTCCACCGAGGCTCCGGGCGGGGCAGGTGTCCTCTGACAGTCAGGCAGGTTTCCAACACTCCTTTTATTCCAGCACTACCCAACCTTGCTATCCCCCCGAAGTGTCTCGGGTCCTCTGTCCTCGGCCATGTCCCCTTGGAAGAGGCGGGCGCTCCCCCCCCCCCCCCAGTCCCGTCCCGGAGGCTGGGCCGGGGAAAGGCTCCTTGTCCGAGGTCCTGGAGAAGGCTGGGCGACGCCCGGTCCCAGGTGCTGCTTGTCTGGATGGGACAGCGGCCCAGAGGTGGCTGCAGGGGCGCCCTCGGCAGGACGTGCGGGGAAGGTTCTCTCCGCCGCCCGAGCAGGAAGAAGCAGAAACTAACGCACTCCGGTTACAAAGTCCTCAGACGACGACAAAGCGAAGAGCAGAAATCAACATGATTTGGCAAAGGTTTTTAAAATTTTAAATTAAAAAAAAAAAAACATTCACACAGAGGAGATTCAACTTATCTGCTTTGAAGAAATACATTAAAGAAAGTGGAAGGTTTAAAAAAAAATCAAACCCCAAATAAGGATAAAAATAGATGTACCCTCTGGAAGAATCTGGCCTAGTCTACTGAACCATTCATACCTATTCAGTATTCAGAGCATGAAGTGAAATACCAGAGCATAAAAAATTTAAAAAACAGTAACAAAAACAACCAAAAACTGGAGACCCGGCCCTGGCGCTGACCATGGGCCGGCGGCTCGCTCGGGCTCCCGCCTCTGGAAGCCAGTGTGTGGTCCCTCCTGCCTCCCTCACTCAGAGCTTCAAAGGTCCTCCCTGGTCCTGCTCGGCTTTGTTGCGTGTTGTTCTATAAACTTGCTCAAATGTTCCAGGTCTCTGTTTCCGTCCTCAAATTTAATCGGGTTCTTTTTGTCCCCACTGGGTGCGAAGTAGATGGTGGGGAAGCCCTCGACTTTGTAGCGGTCACTGGTGATGTCGTTGGCAGTGGCGTCCATCTTGGCGATGACCAGGTTCTTGTGGCTCTTGTACTTCTTGCCCAGGGCGGTGTACACGGGCTCCAGCTGCTTGCAGTGCCCGCACCAGGGCGCGTACAGCTCAATGAGGACGTCCTTCTTGGGGTCCATCACGATGGAGTCGAAGGTCTTCCCCACCACGACCTTGACTGGCCCCTTGTTGTTCTTGGGCACCGGCTGGGATTTGATGACGGGCTTCAGTTTTCCTGCCGAGGAAAGCAAGCGGGGTGGACGTGAGAGATGCACAGGCCTGTCACTGAGAAATGCCAGGCGCAGGGGGTCCAGGAAGAGCCGGCGCCGGGGCTGCAGAGCCACGAGGGGAAGAGCACCAAGCAGAGCGGACGGGCAGACAGGGAGCCAGGAGGTCTGCCCGCGACAGGCTGGCCCTGAGGATTGGGCCCTGTGCTCAACTGGACCGATAAAGACATGCGTGCGGCCCTGGCCGGTTGGCTCAGCGGTCAGAGCCTTGGCCTCCGGACCAATAAGCTGGGTTCGATTCCGGTCAAGGGCACGAACCTCAGTTGCAGTTAGTCCCGGCCCTGGTCAGGGTTGTGCGGCAGGCAACCAATCGATGTTCCAACCACCCCCTACTCTATCTGAAGATAAACAGAAAAATGTCCTCGGGTGAGGATTGGAAGACATGCATGTAACGCCTCAAAGCAAGTTTCCACATACACACAACTGTCCACAAACACCAGAAGCCTGTTTTAAATATTTTTAAAAATAAGGCTTCTTGACATTTCCAGGACACACCTGTCCCAAAAAAAAAAGAGAGAGAGGAAGCAAAACAATGGAGACCCCCCACCTGCACCCTCCCAGAGGCCCAGGGAAGGGTCCCAGGATCAGGCTGAGAACAAGTGATGGGAGCGGAGAGGCGCCGCGGCCTGAACACCAGGCGCCCCCAGCCCACCCGGACCCAGCGACACGCAGCCCACCTTTCTTGAAAGCCATGACGAACTCTCGGAGGGTGTCGGAGTCGAACTCGTCGGGCTCCATGGCGAACTTCCGCCCGCCCTCGTCCAGGACGGCGGCGTTGACGTCCTCCCCGCTCTCGCTGAGCCCCAGGTCCTTCACCTCCGTGGCAAAGTCGTCCTCGTCAGCCACGGCAAAGGTGTACTCGGGGAAGTCCTTGGCCACCTCCAGCACTTTGCTCCGCCAAAACTGAGTGGCTGCAACGGAATGAAGGACGGTGAGCCTCGGAGGTGAGGTTGAGATTGTCCCTCAGATCGCTGGCGAGGCTCAGACTTCAATCGGAGAGAAAAGCATTTCTGAAAAAGGCACCTTTGTGAGTAGGGGACCTTGGCTGAAACTCAACCAGCCCAAGGGGCCTGTGCCCTGCAGCATAAGCCCCTGCCTGCCCGGAGCACAGAAGGAAGATGACCCGGAGCCATGCAGAAAACATGCCCAACCACCGATCCAGGGCCGGGGCCCCTCACCCGCCCTGTAGTCGAAGCTGAAGTCCACGCTGTAGTAGACGACCACCAGAGGGCGGCGCGTGTACCGCTTGGCGTCATTGGAGGGCTTCCGGTGACCCACCAGGGGCAAGGTGTGCTTCAGCACGAAGTCTTTGATGGCGGAGCCCTCCACGGAGCCCTGCAAGAAAGTGGGGGCAGGTGAGGGGCAGCCTGACGGGAGTGGGGCTTACCTAACACTCCCACCTTTGCTGCCACTGTGAATAAGTCAAGATGGGACAGGGCATGAGGGAGGGGCCCCTGAAGGTGACATGCTCTGCGCCCCCCACACACACCAGGAATCCCTGCTGTCTCTGGGCCCCTCCCCCCCAGTGAACCGTAAGTGAGCTTGCTGGGCCGCTGCAGGCTCGCAGGGCCCCATCTCCTGGGCCTGGGCTCACTGCGACGTCAACTAGGAGCCGCTGGAGGAAGGCCTGGGTGCCGGTGCCGGAGGGGGGGGGGGCGGCTAACACAGCCAACTGAGCAGGGGGGTCCGCCTCCCTCACCTGATCTCACAACAGCGCTGCGGGGACATTTCACAGCACAGGGAGGGAGGGAGGCCGAGTGCACACAGCTGGGGAGGGGCCGCGACTGGCTTTGCGGTCCACCCGGGGAAAGCACACGCGTGAATGGCCACGACACCAGAGCATGGCCCGTCAGACCCCAGACTCACAACCACCCCGAGGGTGGGCGCTGCCACCTCACGTCATAGATGAAGACACTGAGGCACAGGAGGCGAAGCCGCTTGCCCAAGGCGCACAGCTGAAGGTGACGGACAACCACACTCTTCCCCCAGAGCCCGAGTCCCATCTGGACGGGACAGTCAGGGAGGTGGCCCTGAGCAGCAGTGAGGACGGGCAGAAGTTGCCAGATGGGAGGAGCAGCAGGAAGAAACGGGAAAGACACCAAGGGTCTGGTCCTCGGGCACCAGGAGGGTGGGAGGAAAGTGGAAAAATCGGTGAGGAGGGCGGCAGGGGTGGGGGCCCTTGAGGCATCACCACCCAGAAGGCGACCCGGAGAGCAGGACAGTGCAGCAGGCGCGCCTGCCAGGGCCGAGCACACTGCACCTGAGCTCCTTGCAGGGCCTGCCCCGGGTCCTCCCGGCAGCTGCTGGCGCCGACCACGCCTCGCTTCACCTGATCTGTCCTGCCCTGTCTGCTTTGTCCTGGCTTCTAAAGCCATTATTTAAAAGCACTGCATTTTATTGTGTGAATTTTAATAAAGCAGATTTTTATGACTTTTGGGGAAAAGGTGATACATAAATACCAACCCACTTAAATTTAAAACGCAGGCAAAAGACGGAAGCCCAGCGGCAGTGACACGCATGACACCCTGGGCTGCGTGGATCTTCACCTTTCTGAGGTCAAGGGCCTCTTCAAGACCCCGGACTCAGAAGGATTCAGGGTTGTCGTGTCCCCGTGCACAGAAAGACCAGGGGAATGGCTACTCCCCGTGGTGCACGCCAGAGGCCTCGGTCCTGCACCGGCCTGTAAGTCCCGTGGGAGCCCTTGGTCAAGTGGCGAGGGTCATGGCCTGGGACAGGAACCTGGCCCAGGAAGGAGGACACCTTCGCTCTCCCTCCGTTGCTTCTAACTAGCTGTGGGGTCCTGGACGAGGCAGCTCACTTCTCTGCATCCCAGCCTCTATGAAAAAAGCTTTGGATTCCAGACTGAAGGTCTCTTCCAAACCTGGAGATCTGCTCACGGAAGCACGCGAACACGGAGCTGGGAACTCGCCCTCCCTCCCAGGGGTGACTTTCACAGCCTTTAAGGCGGGGGTGGGTGGTGGTGGAAAGAAAGCCGAGTCCACGGGCCGCACTGCGCCGCGCCAGGCAGTGGACGGAGGCTGCCGCTGCCCGCGGCCCTCAGCGCCGGGCTCCCTGCGGGCGAGCGAGGCTTCCCCGTGGCAGGTGGCACATGCAGACTCGCAGCGGGGCACCGGGGCTGTGGCCGGGTGAGGGCGGCAGGAGAGGTGGAGCTGCCAGGCGCCAGGGCCTGCTCCTGCCAGGGGAGCGCTCCCTGCTCGCTGTGCTCTGGGGTCCAGGCCTTCGGTGCAAATCCCCAGGCCTCGGAACCCCCAGGTGGTGCCACCAGGGCCCTCATCCGATGGACGCCCGGGGGCTGGCACCTCGGAGGGCCGGGCCAACACGCCCGAGCCCCTCACCCACCTGGATGTCCATCGTGTGGCTCCTGGGATCATATTTGGACTGGAATTTCTCAGGCTGCATCATGACCAACTTCCCTGGGGAGACTTTCAAGAACTTTGCTATTTCAGTGCTAAAGGTGTGGTGGAATTTGTAATCTTCTCTCAGGTTGTTGGCTGAAAAGGGAACAGAATGACAAACACACAGTTCATTAAATCGCTTTAATGATCACGACCCGCGTCAACTGAAGCGAATGCCCAGAAAACAGCGTGATGCCCACCATGAGTTCTGTGTGAACACTACCCCGAACTTAAATGTTGGACTTTAAAACTTGTCCAACATGGGGGCTCAGGTGGTTGGAACGCTGTTCCGTTACACCGAGGTTGCAGGTTCAACCCCATCGGGGCACATACAAGAATCAACTAATGAATGCATAGATAGTGGAGCAACAAATCCATGTTTCTCTCGTTCTCCCTTCCCTTCTCCCTAAAATCAATAAAAAAACAAAAACAAGCAAACAAAAACACTTGGGTCCTGGCCAGTTTGGCTCAGTGGCCGGAACAGTTGGAAGGGTCATAGGTTTGATTTCCGGTCAAGGGCACGTACCTGGGTTGCAGGTTTGATCCCAGGTCCCACTCTGGGTTGTGCAGGAGGCAACCAATCAATGTTTCTCTCTCTTTCCCTCCCCTTCCACTCTATTAAAGATCAATGGAAAAATATCCTCAGGCGAGGATTAATAAAAAACAACTTAGTACAGGCCTAATACCTTAAAAGCTGTATGTCGGATTTGTCAAAAATTTTAGAAAACTCAATGTTCACAGAAAAACTTTGGGCTTGCCCTGGCCTGTTTGGCTCAGCAGTTACAGTGTCGGCTTCCAGTCCAGAGAGGCCCGGGTTCGGTTCCCACTGAGGGCACTACGGCCGGTTGCAGTTTGTCCCTGGCCCTGGTCGGGTTGTGCAGGTGGCAGCCACTCAATGTGTCCCTTTCACGTTGATGTTTCTCTCTTTCTTCCTCTCTCTCCCTCCCACTCTGAACAAAAAATAGAAAAATGTCCTCAGGTGAGGATAAAAAAATAAATAAGTAAAAAAACTTTGAGCTCATCTGTGAGTTGTCCAGCTGACTGCCGTCCCCACTGCAGGGGGCACAGCGCTCCCAGACAGTTAGCATCTCACAATGCTGTGTGCAAATGGCGAGTGTGTACACGCAGCGCCTTCCCAGGGGTTAACCTCCCCTCCCGGGGGGGCTGTTGGTGGGCTGGGGCCCTAAATGTGGTTCTTCTACTGTATATATTGTATTTAAATTGTGTCAAACTCACAAGATAAAACCCCACTGTCTGAGATACTCAGGAACAGGGGCTGGCAAACTTTCCAGAAAGGACCAGACAATAAATGTCTGCTTTGCGGTCCCTGCCACAACCACTCTCGTCCGTGCATCAGCTGGGCAATGTGTGAACGAGTGAGACTTCGTGGCCCGTCAGCCCCTGCCCTGGAGCTGGGTGAGGACACTGCCCTGGCCAGGCGCCCAGACAGCACCCACGTGACTGGGGAGACGGGCAGCAGCCTGGGGGAGGCCGGCTCCCCGAACCAGACAGACTTAGATTCGGGCCGTAACTTTGCAACGGGCTACTGTGTGACGTCAGGCCTGCTGGCTGTGCCTGAACCTCAGTCCACCCTCTGCAGCAATCAGGTGAGGCACCCCCCAGAGGCCACCTGCAGGCCAGCCTCCCACCCTGTTCGAAGCCTCCGAGTGCCCCAGGAATAGCAGGTGGTCGTGGGTGAAGAGACAGAATTGCCTCAAGAGCTTTGCTAGCCACCCCCACGTTCACAGACCCCTCCTCCCATTCCCTGTGGACGGCCCTGCATCCCTGGGGCTGCGTCGCTCCTTCCACGAGGCCCACAGTGAACAGAGAACAGTGAACAGGCCGGCACACCAGGCCCAGCGACTCACCGCTGCCGCCGTCTAACCACACGAGCATGCGAGGCACGACCTGAAGTGTGGTGCCCGCACTGGCAGAGCAGGCAGCACCCAGCCCCCCCCCTTTACCGACCAGGCCTGGATCATCACAGACCACACTCCCTCACACTCCCGGGATGTGCACACACACAAATGTGACTTGCATCTGGGGTTCCCTCTGCAAGTTTCTTCCTGATTGGTGAGGAGTGAATGACAGGGTTACCCAGTCAATAAAGACCGAGGGAGCACGAAGGGAGTGTACCCCTGCTCTACTGCAGGCCTCACTACGCTACCCTGCATCTGACATGTGCGCGATTGGACCTGCGCAGCACACAAATCAGCACTGAGGGGCAAGCAGTGCATTTGAAGGGGCCACCCAGGTGCCAAGTACACCTGTCCCCAGGAGCCAGACCTGGACGGACAACTGCCCCCACCCCCCCAGACCACTACTACTGACAGCTGGTCATAATAATTTCACTTCTCAGACTAGCAAGATTAGCAGTTATGGGTACTTATTAGTATTACTTGGCTAGACGCTTCATCTACATTATCTCAGTTAACATAACAAGCTTCCAAGTAGGAAAGTCACCATGGTGGACAGGGGAAGCCCGGGCTGACTGATCAAGTCACTGCCTGCGGTGGTCACAGTGCTAACTGGCAGAGCCAGGACGCAGGCCTGGGTCTCACTCAGAAACCCCCGCTTTTTGGTGAAGTCTTCCCTTGCAGAGGAGCTGGCTTTGGGAAGGGGATCCTCGAAGGCAAAGGAGATAGACAATGAACTTGGATGAACTTGACCATGCTCCTCCCCAACTCTCCACGTGCAATTAAGACAACAGGGAACTAACCTCCCTCGCTGACCTGTGGGAAGGCAAAGCCCGTTCCCACTGCTGCCATGACAACTCATCAAGCCGTCCCTACACGACGCCACAGCTTCTATGCGAAAGCCGCAGGCTCCCAGTGCAGGCCACTACTCACCAGCATCCTGGTACAGCTGGTAGGACGGGTCACTCTCCCCCTTGAAGACCCCAACGATGATGACATCATCTCCATCCTTCAGGAGCTCCTGGACCTGCTTCAGGGCCAAAACCTCCTTGGAGGGCGGCCCGGACTGCTCGATCATGTAGTCGACGATCCCTGGGAGCAGAGCGCCTGCCTGAGGAGGGGCTGCGGCTCCGGGCCCTCTGCCCACCGCCCACATCCGCCGGGGAGCTTCCCGCCTCCCTGAGCTCGGAGGAGGAAGTGACCCTACCGTACTTCTCCCTCGGACCGTTGTACTCAAAAGGCTTTCCCTTGCGGAAGATCTTCAGGGTGGGATAGCCAGACACGTCGAACCTCTTGGCCAGGTCTGTTTCCGCAGTGGCGTCGACCTTCGCCAGCGGGATTGGGGGCGAGCGCTTGCTCAGCTCCTTGGCGGCCTTCTCGTACTCGGGGGCCAGCTTCTTGCAGTGCCCACACCTGCCGAGCCAGCCAGTCCCGTCAGGGGCGGCTCCAGCGCGGACATCGCCCCCAGCTACGCAAGGTGCGCTCCCGAGCAACTCGGCGAGTCCGGCCAACCCCCGAACGCCCCCCAGGTGAGGGTGCTGAGCCAGGACCCTCACACACCGAAGACTCACACAGACGTGTACACACGCACACACACAAGGGCGTAGATCAGACTGCAACTATGACACGAAGATGTGGGCAAGTCCAACACAGATAAGGTCCTAAGAAGGGAGATTTTCCCGGTTGCAGAGTTGGGTCAGGTAGGGACACAAGTCAGGGATGGCTTCTTAGAGGATGTGACAGTTGAGCTGGGACGTGAGGGATGAGTAGGAAGCAGACAGGAGCCTGAGAAAGGTGGGGGGGGGCACAAGGCAGGAAAGCTGTGGGAACCCCGAGGCTCCGGCATGAGACGGGACATGTGCTCAGTGTGCAGCGAGGCTGAGGGTCACCTTCGGAGAGTCACTCTGGGACAGACAGCTTTGAGCAGACATGAAGACAGACAAAACCAGGGTTCAAACCCCTCAGGAGAGACAGGGAGCTGGGACGACAGCGTCTGGGACAGGTGGAGCGAGGCCACCAGCTGCCACACCCGTTCACTGCTGGGGCAGCTCTGCTCTTTACTCCCCATCCAGCTGGTGACCTTCCACACACAGCGTTTGCATGCCTCCCACCAGAGCTGAAAGATGTCACCCCACTGCCTAGAGAGCCACAGACAACTAAGCACTCTCACAGGTTTCCTCAGGGACACTCCCTGGCCGGAGCAGATGGGCAGTGACAAACGCAAGCATAGGTGGGGTGCTCAGCCACGTTCTCCAGCATCGAGGGACCCTTGTGAGTGAGTCATGGGGGCTTCCTCTCCCCCGTGCCCTAGGCCTGAGCTCACCTCATCATAACCCAGGAAAAGACCGTAAGAGAACAGCCCCCCCAGAACACTCGCAGCTCCACCCGCCCTGCTCTCTGGCCGCCTGCCACCCAGCCAGTGCCGGCCAGGTACCCAATACAGGCTGGGCCTATCGAGTGTCTGCACAATGCGAGACCAACACCATCTTACCATGGGGCGTAAAACTCCACCAGAATGATGTCTGCCTCGTTCACCACTTCATCGAAGTTGTCTTTGGTCAGCACAAGCGTGACTTCTGGTGGAGGCGTCCAGTCGGGCTGGGAGATCTCTTTGACCTTGGCAATGATTTCTGAAAGAAACCCAGCAGGACTGAGCACAGGCTGACTTCTGCATAGCGCGAGGCCAGCCTGACCAATGCGACCCGAGTCTCACCAGACCACAGTCTGACCACAAGTGAACCTGACACGTCATCCCGCAGTGCTCTGACCACACATGCTGAGCGAGTTTGGGGCACCCCCGTAACTCGTACACATGTAGCACCAGCACACCCCGCATCGAGGGAAGTGCAGAGCTGCAGCCCCCACGCTGCTCGGGCTGCATGGTGTCGCCTGTGGAAAAAGGCCCATCAGAGGCCCTGGTTCCAGGAGACAGATTCAATGCCGGGAGGGGACACAGGGTCTATTCTCACAAAGCATTTCCAAGTGGTTCTTAGGAGCAGTGGTAGCAAACTTTTAATACTTTCTTTTCTTTTTTTGGCTGTGGAATCCACCAGGGACCAGATCCGAGAGCCAGTCCCGCACGGCGCCGGTTCTCAGACTGAAACGCGCACCCATGGTGCGAACTGCCTGCCGTCCACACCCGAGTCAGATGCGGGGGACGCCCGTCTGCTGAGGCGCACTCGGCCGGCGGCCCCAGGAGCCCACTTGGCAACACCGCTCTCAAGACTCCCAGGTGAACCACATCCCTCCAACACAGGGAGCAGAGACTTCCAAACACGCGAGCCTATCTGCTTCCCGACACCCACGCACACCACTGCCAGCCTGCTTCAGATCAGGCCCTTTCCGAGCCGATGTGCCTCACACACATTTGCTAAGCGGAAACACAAAGGTGCAGGTGGTATTTATTTTCTTATTTTTCCTTTATTGATTTTAAAGAGAGAGGAAGTGAGAGGGAGAGAGAGACAGAAACATCGGTGAGAGAGAACATCGACTGGCCGCCTCCTGCACGCCCCTCCACTGGGGATCAGGCCCACAACCTGGGCATGTGCCCTGACCTGGAATTGAACCGGCGACCTCTTGGTGCATGGGTCCATGCTCAACCACTGAGCCACACCGGCCGGACAGTACAGGTGGTATTTAAGATATGCTAACAACTGGCCCTGACCGGTTTGGCTCAGAGGTTAGAGTGTTGGCCCACAGACCAGAGTGTCACGGGTTTGATTCCGGTCAAGGGCACGTACCTCGGTTGTGGTTCATCCCTGGCCCTGGTCGTACGGGGGTGACCAGTTGATGTTTCTCTCTCTCTCTCCGCTCCCCACCCTCCACTCTATCTAAAGATACCCTCAGGTGAGGATTAAAAAGAAATATACGCTAACAATTGAGTAGAAGTTCCACACAGAGAATGTTTGTTTTGACACGCACAGAGCAGTTCCGAAGGACATGGGGGAACTTGCCCCACTAGCCGCCTTCCTGGAGGGGAGCTAACCAGGGTCAGGGTGAAAGAGAACCCCACATAAACATGTTATCTAGTCAACAACAATGCAGCATGAAATTCAGTATGTCTTGTCTTTGTGCACCCCACAATGGCGGGTTCCAGTGCTCAGAGGCCCCCAGATCAAGTGACCTTATGTGGACTCCAGGCCGGACAAGGCACGTGTCCAGGACACAGGCTACTGCGTGGCTATGCGGACCCAGAGCGTACCAGTGCTGTCGCCCCGGTGCCATACTGGGAATGGACAATGGAGCACAACCTTTTCTTTTTTTTAAGTGATTAAAAGACACATGCTCTTCCTCAAGGATTCCACAATTTTATTTGTTCGTTCACGCAGTAAAATTTACTTAGTGCCTAATTTGAGCAGGCAGGGCTCCAGAGGCCTGGTCCGAGACCCGCCTGGCTTCCCGCACCATGGTTCTCAGGGCGGGGTCTGGGCCTGAAGCCTCAGCAACGCCTGGATGCTCACAAGAAACGCAAGTTACTGAGCCCGACCCAAAACGTAATGGATCAGGGAACTCGAGCTGGGGCGCACAGACCTGTCTTAATAAACCCGCCCTCCCCATTTCTGGCGATTCTGATGCAAGCTGAACACTGAGAACCACTGCTCTAGAACAGTGATCTTCAAACCCCTCCATCTCATGGCACACACAGACTGATCACTAACATTCTGTGGCACACCGGTTGAAAATCACAGCTCCGAGAACCCCTATCTCTTGTATCATTTCTTTTTTAAAAATGTTTCAATTACAGTTGATCTTATGTTATTTCGTTTGTTCTCTTTTTTAATCCTCACCCAAGGACAGTTTTCCATTATGTTCAGATAGAGTGAGAGGGAGAAACAGAGAGAGGGAAAGAAATATCGATGCGAGAGAGACACATCGATTGGTTGCTTCCCACATGACCCGACCAGAGCCAGGATCGAGGTACATGCTCTTGACCGGAATCGAACCCGAGACTCTGGTCCGCGGCCCATGCTCTAACCGCTGAACCAAACTGGCAAGGGCTTATGTTATTTCTTGACACGTAATCTCCAGCTCCTGTTTCATGGTCTGAAATGGGAAGGTACCCCTCCCACCCAAGGACAAGTTTATTTCGCTCTCGGTTACCTCCAACACACCAGCAAGGAGCACTCCCAGAAGCTGGTGCAGCCAGGAGTCACTTCCCAGCCCCTCAACTTGTCTCCCTTTCTATTATCCAAATTCCCATGCCCGGGGGAGTGAGTCCTGGCCCGGCTTCCTCCAACAGATCAGGTACTGCTCACCGTCCTGGGTCCTGGAGCCCTCGTAGTCAACAGCCTGCCCCTTCTTGAGGATCTTGATGGTGGGGTAGCCGCTCACATCAAACCTGCTGGCCAGCCCTGACTCTGAGGTCGCGTCGATCTTAGCGACAGGAATGGGAGGGTCATTCTCCTTCAAGGTACTAGCGATTTTTTCATATTCTGGAGCAAACTGCTTGCAATGTCCACACCTAAGAATCAGGTTTGGGGAAAGAGAAGCAGGTTAACTGCACCCGTGGAGGCTTAGCTCCCGCAATGCACACAAAAACAGGACGTCAGGATGGGAAATGTCTGCAATTAAGAAAAGACATGATGCCCGGCTGGTGTGGCTCAGTGGTTGAGCGTCAACCCATGCACCAAGAGGTCGTCGGTTCAATTCCCAGTCAGGGAACATGCCCAGGTTGTGGGCCAAATCCCCAGTTGGGGGCATGCAGGAGGCGGCCCATTGATACTCTCTCATCGATGTTTCTATCTCTCTCCCTCTCCCTTCCTCTCTCTCTAAAACCAATAAGGAAAAAAACCCTAAAAAATACCTCGTAGTATGTGCTTGAACATCAAGCACTGGACACATATGTTTATCTTGACTATTATGCTTCCAAAGTGAAGCAGGGAGGGTGGGGGAAAGAGGGAAGAAGGGATTACAAGATAACAGGAGAGAGACAGGAGAAACACAAGAGAGGTGACAGACAGGAAAGGGGGCGGGGCGCCTATTCTGCCTTCCAGGGGCTGCGTGTGTCAGGCCTACACGTGGGGCAGCAGCCTGACCCCTGGCAGGAGGGAGGTGAGTGGCCTTGAGATGGGTTGGATGTCTGTCATCAACACAGGATTCCGTATCATCACAGCTTGTTAAATGCCACCCCCTTCCCCAGCTGTAACTATCAGAAGACACGTTCACATTTTAAACCACTGGGGACTGCACTCTGTCAGGGCTGGCTCGTGGGATGCTCCAGGCGAATGGGCCGAGTGCGCCACTCCTGACCATCCTGAACCAAGGGCGGAGTTCCGGCACCCAGGCACTCCGCCCGCCGGGTCAAGCACGGGAGCAGGGAACCTCCCCTCTGCCCCGCAGGGGTCAGGCAGGGGAGCGGGACCCTCCCCTCCGCCCTGGAGGAACCAGAATGGGGGTCCTTACCACGGGGCGTAGAACTCCAGCAGCACCGTGTCCTTGTCAGCCACAAAGTTATCAAAATTTGCGTCACTTAGAATTAAGACACCATTTTCTTCCTTAACTTCCAAGTCATCTTCCTCCTCCTCCTCTTCATCTTCTTCCTCCTCATCTTCCTCCTCCATGGCCTCTTCTTTATTAGAATCTGAGTGGAAAACAGCCAGACTGGTTAGGAAACTGGTGACTTCCCTCCTTAAAAATGTTCCTAGGACCCCAATCCTTTAAAATGTGTCAGAGTCCTGAGTAGTCCCTGGGGGCCACCACCAGACAGGGTGGTGACATCAGGAATTTCCACCCCAGAAATTCTGCTCTAACTTTGCATACTGGCTGGCCGCTTAAGATTTCATTTGAAGGGAAGTCATGGTTAAAAGATGTCTAAAACCACAGACTTAAAGTCTAAATGCCACAGGACTGCCCCCCTCCCCAGAGGTGGCACCCCCTGCTCTTCACGCCTCCTGCCTGAACAGAGACCCCATCCTCAGCTCCCTTCTCCTGCTCTGCACTGAGATCTGACCCGCTGTCCCTCGGCACCCCGTCTCTCCAGGTTCCCACTGTCTGTGCTGCAGGGTAAGGTTAACTTTCACTGGCACGATTCCAGACCGGAAGCAGACCTCTCTTCCCAGAACACAGAATCCAAGTACATCTCATTATCAAGGTCTAGTCAATTTTTTGCCAAACTACAGATACAAGGCATCGTGGGACTGCAGTTCTTACTAATCAGGTTCCCCAGCTTCAGTCACAGCAGCAAGTGCAGTTGAAGCAAGCATGAGGACTCCATTAACTCTGAAGCCAGAACAGTTCAAAGGGCCAATTATTGTGTCTGGAGATGCTTCCCAGCAGAAAAACCAAGACTGACAGTTACCAAGTTTGGGGCTGATGGTGAGGTCAGGGCATGAAAATCTGCCCTTGGGATCTTGGAACCCCTGGGACTTGCTAACCCCACTTCTAACTAACCCCCGCCCCCTACTCTAGGGCTGGCCCTGCAGCCACTCAGGTGAACCAGGGAACTTGTCTGGGTGGGACAGGCAGCTTTGTTCATTATTGTCAAAATTTACCAATCCTCAAACTAATTACAAAAAGCAAACCAACTGAGTGGTGAACACACAGTACAATATATAGATAATGTATTAAAGAACTGTACACCTGAACCTATATGATTTTATTAACCAATGCCACCATAATAAATTCAAACAAAATTCAATTACAAAAAAAGAAAACGATAAAACCCACTCCCACTCCACCAGCCACTTTCCTCGTGGGACTGCATGTCCTTTTAAAGACCCCTATGCTTTTCCCTGAATTCCCCATGCCTTGTCAAGGGAGGGAGAAACAGCTCTAAAATCCCAAAAGAAAACTCACCAACTGGAGAAGTGCAAACCAAGCAGACTCCCATGTTTCTTGGGACAAGTCCCCTCCTCTGCCCTCAGGCTTCCTCCCAGCCCACCCCCTGCACTCTGGGCCACAGCACTGCAACATCCCCACCCCTGGCCACCTGATCACCTCCATCCTCCACGGCAGAAACTCTGTGGGGTGGACAGGCCTGCAGAGGACAGTGACAGCACTGTCATCCTGTATGTAAAGGGGGCCAGGACACGGGAAGACAACCTCACTTGCAAGTCCTACCCCAAAATGACCTGCATGAGGGCTGCAAACCTGGGGGCTTGATGTGGAGTCCTCTGCCCAAGCTGGGGTGCCTAGGAGGCACCACACACCCGGGCCCAGATCTGGGAGCTCACTTGGGCTGGACAGCCTGCTGCGCACAGTCAGGTAGGGCTTTGGGCCCTGGGTATCCACTCTCACTGCCTGGCTGCTCTGCCCGGTCAGATCTACTTGCAGAATCAAATTTACTAGCGGGCGACGGAAAGACAGGAGGAAGGTCGGAGAGAAAGCACTGGGAACTTAGTCTGCTCTTCAAGCTAGGAAACGGCCGAGGGAGGAAGAGGGACTTGGCATCTGCTCAACGCACAAGATAAAGTGCATTTTACAAAAAGGAAAAGCAAAGACGCTTCCTTACCTGTGCTGGGCTTGAAGTGGTCTGTGAACACTACTAGTGGGGCTTTCATGATTAAATGGGTACCCACGAGTTACCGTGGACCAGAGCTAAGAGTGAACTCATTTCTTGATTTTTAAAAATATATACTTTCCTTTCCTCCCCAACTTGCAGACAACCAAAGGACTAGTTCCTCTGCAACTTGAGAAGGTGCTGGCTCCATAGTCCTACCTATTAGAAACCCACACTTGCCTGCAAAGAAAACACTACGTTCTACTGGGGAGACTACTCTTCATTGGGCTTCACTTTTCTTTTTATCCTCACCCGAGGACATTTTTTCCATTTTTTTGTTCAGATAGAGTGGGAGGGAGAGCGAGGAAGAGAGAGAGAGAGAGAAACATCGATGTGAAAGAAACACATCAAGTGGTTGCCACCCGCACGACCCAACCAGGGCCGGGGACAAACTGCAACCGAGGTACGTGCCCTTAGCGGGAACCGAATCGGGGTCTCTCTTGACCCCAGGTCAAAGTTCTAACCGTTGAGCCAAACTGGCCAGGGCTGGGCTTCACTTTTAAAGCTGATGTTCTTGGATAGAAATACATCCAAAGCCTTCCGGCGCCTTCTGGAAGGGTGCCATCATCCTCAGCGTGAGGCCAATGCAGCCTCTCACATCCCCTTCACAGTGCAGAGCCCACAGGGCAGGGCCACTCCTAAAACGGGGCCCTTCCTCTAACCAGGTCACTGCGGTCCTGTCCACTCCCTGCCCAGCCTGGATGCTGACAACTCCTTGCAGGATGTCCTCATCTACGTTCTCAGCTGGTCACTTCCAATCCCCACTAGAGATGTCCCTGTAACAGTTGGATAAACTCTACCATTAGGTCAATACTGAATAGTTTTATATTAAACACTGGAAAAGAGATATTTGTTATTTGTTATTAGATGTAACATTGTAGCTGATATGGTTGACAGGACTATGCTGAACTAAAACATTCTCTCATCCCTTGAGGGAAACACATTACATGTACTTCAGAGATGAAGAAACTGAGGCACAGAGAGTCTCAGTCACCTGCCCAAGGATCACAAAGCTACTAGTGGGGGGTCCTGACCACTCCAGTGCTGTAGTATCTTGTCAAATCAGATTTTCTTCTCAATACACCCAAAGTTTTACAATTACTTCTCAGGAATGAAAAGAGGGGCAGCCGAAGAGTTCTTGAGCACCAGACCTAAGTGAATTTCCACTTATTTTAAAATTTAAACCAATCCCAAATAAAAGCAGGCAGGAAAATATTTTTCTTCACTGTTAGCTGGAAAGATGTGAAGGGTAAAAGTGACTTCTAATCTGAGACATGAAAGCCCTGCAAACTGAGGCTTAAGTCTATTTAGTAACCACAGTCTTACGGGGCATTTAGAACCCAGACACCACTGTGCTGTTTTAATCTAAAATGTAAGAAAGGCAAGCTAAACTAAAAACCCTGCAAACTTGGAATATCTGGGGCGGAGCAAAGTATAGCCCCAAAGTAATTCCACAGGACAAGTGATCTGTGACAGGCATCAAAGTGAAGGGCCAGGCATGCCCACAAGGATGGGAAGAGTCAAGATAAGGGCTAGAAGCCCCACCCCATTCCAGAGGATGCCCTGAGACCTGCCTTGGCCATGACTCCAGAGTTCCAGAGGCAACTGATTCCCAGCGCCTCCACTGCATTAGTGACCTGTGGCTCAAACGATAAAATGTACTGGTTATCAGTAGCCCTTGGTGTCCAAACGATTTTGCTTTTTAGCTACATTCCAAAAAGTAGCTAAAAACTACCAGTTTATTCTATGAATCCATGAAGAATGCGTTTAAAATGCAGAGCCCAGCTCTCCCCCGCCCCCCAACTTCTGCTTCAGTATATTTTTGGACTCTGTATTTAAATAAGCAGGTGATTTGGATAAAGGTCCCAAGTCACACTTGTAAGGCCATGCTGCTAGCGAGTTCCTTTCGGCAGGTGTTTTTCACTAGGTACTGGCTTTTACTTCCTTTTCTATCTGGGTAAAAATTCTTGATTCAGTGACCCCAGAGAAGTTGCTTAATCTGTTTGAAAGAGTATAAAGTTCACACTTCACCTACAAATACTAGAAAAGGGGGGTTATTTACATTGGAACAAACTCAGTAGGGGGAGGAAAAAAAAAACTAGTCGTGGGGAGAAAGACAATCGAGGAAGCAAGCTGAGACCAGGAACAGGATGCCCTGTTCTCTAGGAGTAGATTTCTTTTCTTGCCTTGTACTTTCTAATTTTCAAAGTTCTCTGAGCCATTTGTTCTACGCTGGCCGATTTCAAAGGAAAATGCAGGACCGGTGACTAGTAGCTGAGGTTCCTGCCAGTGGACCCTTCAGGGGCGGGGGCCATGCGCCTCATCCTGGACTCCAGGGACCCAGCGCAGTGACCGGCACACAGTAGGCTCAGGGACTGGTATCTCCCATTTTTAAACGATGCAAACAAGCCATCCCTTTCTCCCTCAAACCAGAACCCTTGGGTTACTTATTTCCAAATCTACAGCCGTTTTAAAAAGTAAAATGCTTGCTGCCCGCGGCCGCTCCGGGCTCCCACTCGGGCCTTCACGCCCCGGCCTTCTCTGAATCCTGTTTGGAAAACAGAGAACACGCCCAGGAAATGTTAAGCAATTCTCAAACTCTCCTTCCCGGGAGCCTGGACAGGAGGAAAAGCTGAGCAGAATCGGGACGAAGGACCGGCTGCAAAGAAGACACCTTGCACCCTCTCGGATCCAAGCCTCGGTGGCAGGGGCTTGCTAAGAGGCTCCGCGGCCCCGGCCCCTTCACCGCGCTGCTCTCCCGGGATCTGCGATGCTGGCCACCCGCAACCGCCCAAAGCTCCAGCCTGCTGGCGCCGGCGGCGGTTCTGGGGGGCTCCGCGCGGCACCCTCCAGCCTGCAGGCCCGGCCCGCCCCGCCCCGTCGCCCCGCCGTTCACCTTCGTCCGGCCCCCTGGCGCTCGCCACGGCCAGCAGCTGCGCCAGCGCCAGGAGCAGGACCAGCAGGCAAGCTTTCCGGGGTCTCATCACGGCAGCGGGAGCGCGGCCTCCTCTCGCCGGCGTCCACGGAGCGATCCCGGACCTGGCGCTCAGGCACGGCGGGCGAAACGCCAGGGACGAAAAGAAACCCCCCCAGGAAGTCCTCGCCCGAGATTGGCTGGGGACGAGGGAAGCCGAGCGCTGGCCAATCCCGGCCCGACCGCGGGCGCGGGCCTCGAGCGCCCAGCTGCGCGTCCGAGCACCAGCACCGCCCTCCGCGTCGCACTCCTCCCCAGCCTCCTCCGCGCGCCCCGCGGGCCGAGCATTTAAAGCTCCGAGCGCTAACGTGAGGTGCCCCCTTTTGATTGGCTGCGCCACGGCCACCAATCAGCAGCTGCCACTCGGTTTGCCCCGAGCGCACAGGTTGAGAGAGGGAGCCGGGGAGAACAAAGGCGGAGGGCCGGAGCTGGATGGGGCGGGGTCTTACTACGCAGCGTGGTGCGATTGGCCTGCGGGTGTGGGCGGGGCCTGGGAATGCGGGGCGGGGCGGAGCTCTGGGAAGGCCACTGAGCTAGGCAAGAAGTCCACGTGTCCCTAGAAGAGTGGTAATGGCTGTGTGGTTCATCTGCTGGGGTCCTAGGAAGCTCGATTTCTCTTCGGCGGTGGGGTCTAAACCAGTCTGTAGATGGGAAGAAGAGAACGAGACTCTTGAGTCAGACACATGCTCGTGGGCTTCTTGCTTTTTTTTTTTCTCCTTGAGCAAATAAAATCTTGCATTTCTTTCCTGGACTTGGCGAGGGGGTGAGCATACAATAAAGGAAATTCGCAACTAGGATTTGGGGAAGCTTCTGTCCGTGGTTTCATCTATGAATTGGCCATTAGATGTGTTTATAAACTTTGCCTCGTGTTTATTTCTTTCATGATTTTCTGCAAAAATGAAATACCACATAGGCAATCCTAGTAGTTTACAAACGTCTAAATATAACCTTGAGGTTTTCCCTCTTGACACCTTAGTAGAAGAAACTAAGATAATGATTTAAAAAAATTTTTTTTTTCTTATTGATTTAGAGAGAGAGGAAGGGAGAGGGGGGGAGAGAGAGAGAGAGAGAGAGAGAGAGAAACATCTCCTGGCTGCCTCCTGCATGCCCCCCACTGGGGAGTGGGCCCACAACCTGGGCCGGTGCCCTGATTGGGAATCGAACTGGCCACCTCTTGGTGCATGAGTTGATGCTCAACCACCGAGACACACCAGCCAGGCAAGATTATGATTTTTAAATGTCAAGCCTGTGGTGTGTTTTAGATTTCATTAATGCCTGAGGACTGGTATGCCTGCAGAGTTATGAAAGACAAACAGGGAAAATATAAATAAAAAATAAGACTTAAGAGTGCAGGAGCGTTTTTCTGCGTATACAGATTATTAAGTGAAGAAGAAAGGAAAATGGCCTCTCACAGACTTAAGCAATTAAAAAACTTAAATTTAATATATTCTTATTGAGCTACTGTGAATCTGATGGTTTCCCCTCATTTTTGTAGGGCAGAAAGACCTTAACACCAGAGTGTACACTGATTTATTAGAATGCTATGAATGTAGAATATAGAACAGTTCAACGCCTTTTTAAAAAAATCCTCACCCAAGGACATGCTTATTGATTTTAGAGAGAGGGAGGGGAAGAGAAGGAGAAAGAAACATCAATTGGTTGCCTCCTATACAATCTGGGGATCCACTCCACAACCTGGGTATGTGCCCTGACTGGGAATCAAACCCTCAACCCTTCCATGAATGGGGGCAAGGCTTCAAACAGCTGAGCCAGGGCACAGACACTTATTAATGTCAAAGAGGGGAAAAAGCAACTTCATAGTGGGGAAGTCTGGCAGACATTAATTAAGAGATCAATGTAAACATCATCAGTGATGTGACAAACAGAAATCATGCACAACCCAGTAAGGTGCAATAAGAACACATCATCACTTCTTGGCTATCCTCCTGAAGATAAGTAATCTGAACCAAATAATGAAGACATGTCTGACACATGCAAATTGAGGAACATTCTACAAAATAACTACCTGTTTTCTTGAAAAGTATCAAGGTCCTGATAGCCCAAGGCTACCTCTTTTTTTCTAGAAACTGACTGAGGGCTGAAGCCAGCATGCTGCAACACTTAGACTTTTTTAACTACTTGCCAAGTCCCCACTGCCTCATATTAGTGCTTCATGGTCTGGGTCCCAATATATAACAGGTGACAGTTACTACCTAACAGACTGTCAACTTCGCAGACCAGGACATTCATTACTTCCCTCCACCCTACTTTCTCTATGCAGCCAATTCCATATTTTAGGATCCATTTACATGCAAACCCAAATTCTATTAACAATTTCTATGTCTTTCAGGACTCTTGAGTTTGTAAGAGAAAACTCAACTCCAACACATCTTAAACAATGAGCCCTGGCCAGTGTGGCTCAGTTGGTTGGGCATCATCCAGTGCAACAAAAGGTTACCTGTTTGATTCCTGGTGAAGGCACATGCTGGGGTTTCAGGCTCGATACCCAGTAGGGGATGCACAGGAGGCAGCCCATCGATGTTTCCTTCTCACATCAATGTTTCTTTCTCTCCCTTTCCCTTCCTCTCTCTCTAAAAACAAACAATAAGGATATTTCACTGGTTCATGTAACTGTAGAGTCCAAGGATAGTGTAAGTTCAGACAATTTTCCCTGGCTCTCAGTTGTTTCCATGTGTAGTTCAGTAGGTCTTAGGGCTACATACTTCCTCATTCATATCCAGCAGGAATGAAGGTGTTTTTTCCCTATGTAAGTCGAATAGAATAAGGAAGTTATGACATGATTTTCATGATTTTCTTCTCCCTGCATGAAAACTGTAAGAGAATGGTGGAAGAAGATACTTTTCTGGACAGTTACACTCTTTCTCCACGATGTGAAAGACTCACAGAATCAATGTTGCATCTTCAACTGTAAAAGAGTCATAAGAATAAATATGCATGACTTTAAGTCTTTGGATGGGTCCCACCAGTGTGGCTCAGTGGTTGAGCATCAACCCATGCACCAAGAGGTTTCTGGTTCGATTCCCAAGCAGGACACATGCCCAGGTTGTGGGGCCATTCCCCGAGGGGGGGGGGGGGGAGGCATGTAAGAGGCAGCAAATCGATGTTCTCTCTCATGGATGTTTCTCTCTTTCCCTCTCACTTCCTCTCTCTCTCGAATTAATAAGGGGGGGGGGGAGAATACTATGTACACATTAAAAAAAAAAATCTTTGGATGGGTAGGGCAGGAGATCCTGCTGATAAAGGGCCAGCCAAGCAGCAAACAGAAAGAACAGGTGACTCGTGAAGATTTGTGTAGTTTATTTATTTTTTACTCCTCACCCAAGGATATTTTTCCATTTATCTTCAGATAGAGTGGGAGGGAGAGGGGGAGAGAGAGAGAAACATTGATATAGGAGAGACAAATCGACTGGCTGCCTCCTGCACCACCCTGACCAGGGCCTGGGATGAACTGCAATGGAGGTACGTACCCTTGACGGGAATTGAACCCACCACTCATTGGTCTGCAGGCTGACGCTCTAACCACTGACCAAACTTGCTAGGGCAATTTGTGTAGTCTTGATTTCAGGAATTACGCTCAAATTAAAAAAAAAAAAATATCATGCCTAGAAAAGATATGTCATAGATATTCTTTATCACTTGTGTAGAGTTCTTTTTAATTTTTTAAAATATTTTTTCTTTATTGATTTTAGAGAGAGAGGAAGGGAAAGGTGGAGATAGAAACATCAACGAGAGAGAACATGATTGGCGCCTCCTGCATGTCCCCTACTGGGGATTGGGCCCACAACCTGCACGTGTGCCCTGACCAGGAATCACGAACCAATGACCTCTTGGTACATGGGTTGACACCACTGAGCCACACCAGCTGGGCTCAACTTTTTTTAAAAATTAATGTAATTATTTTAAAGACACACACACAGACATTGCTTTGTTGTCCCATTTACTTATGCATTCATTAGTGCCCTGATCAGGAATCGAACCCACAACCTTGGTGTATCAGGATGATGCGCTAACCAACTGAGCTAACCAGCCAGGGTTATCGTAAAGTTCCTTCTGATGCTCATCAGATTCTTCTACTCCTGCCCAGCTGGTGTGGCTTAGTGGCTGAGCGTCGACCCTGCACCAAGAGGTCGCCGGTTCGATTCCCGGTCAGGGCACATGTCCAGGTTGTGGACCCGATCCCCAGTGGGGAGCATGCAGGAGGCAACCAATCGATGTTCTCTCTCATCAATGTTTCTATGTCTCTCTCCCTCTCCCTTCTTCTCTCTCAAAATCAATAAAGAAAAAACAATTTTAAAAAGATTCTTCTACTCCTGTGCTCAGGAACAGATGGCCAGCCACATCATCAAGGATACTCCACCTGGACCCATGAACATATTTCCATTTGTCTCAGGATGGCTTCACACCTGTCCTCACCAGTAACGGTTAAAAGTCTTCTACCTTTGTTCATATCAGGTAAGGAGTTCAGAAATGGATCTTGAGAAGGCAGACTTTTCAATATGTAAAACATGCAAGGTTTTGGTGACATAATACCAGGAAGAGCTTGTGATCATTTTGCTGGTCCTCTTTCCAAAAATTAACATAGATAGCAAACAAAGCAGATTCATAGCCAGGAAGAGGTGGGACACTAAATAAATAGGCCTCTGTTTTACAGGCATAGTGGGGAGAAAACATAAAGTCAGTCGTTGGAACCTCAGCAAATACTCATTTCTAACTGGAGAAACAGGACCTGGAACCAATAGTTTGATTCATTAAATGAACATTTGAGCACAAACCACAGGACATAGTCATATAAGCAGTGTGTAAGTCTTGCAGGATATAGTTGTGTAAACATGTGATAGTATTGTGTGATAAAGTCTGCAAAGAACTGTCTTTGGTGTTTTTTGTACAATATCTTAAAAACACTTATGTGTTTATAAGAAATACAGTTTCATCTGCAGAATTCCCTACAATTAGCAGTTTTTCACTCCACTAAAATGAAATTTAAATTGAAAAGTGACTATTTGCCCCAAGAACACGTTAGAAATGTCAGAAAGAAATGATCATCAATTAACTTGTTTAAAACCTTTTGCACTCAAAATCAAAATATCGCTTTCCCTAGGAGTAAGAAATATGCCCCATAGCTTCCTGATAACTCGAAAATGTGGGGTAGAAGCTTGATTAGGCAGCTACAACCCAAGATAAACAACACTGCAAATAATAGTTAATATTTATTAAAGGAAAAAAGTCCCAATAAATATTTGTTGAAGGGAAGGAGGGAGAGCAGACTGGAACTCCAGAGACCTAAGCTATATTCTCAATCACTAGCTACATGACCTGGAGCAAACACTTGAACCTGTCTGTAACTTACTTTCCTCCTCCATAAAATGAAGGAGTTAGATTACAATCTCCAACGATTCTACCCTGAATACCATTTACTTATGTATTTATTTAGCATTAGTGAAAAAGGCAATAAGAAATGGTCATGTTTCTTGGGGAACATTGTTTCAATTTAGGATAAGTATCAGGAAACTGAGTTCCTGTCACCCCTGGGGATCTTTCAAAGATTTAAAACTAAACTAAGAGTTGCAATCATCCTTACCATTTTCTAAAGAATCGTTTTTAAAGTAACCATCTCTATCAGTGCAATTTAGTATTATACTATCATATGTCTCCCTATGGGACTCCTTTCTTTTTCTCAGCCATAATGTTCTGTTCTTCTTTCTTCCATTCTGTACCTCACCAACAGTATTCCCATCACACAAGCTGAGTTTCAGAGGAACAGGAACACTCAGAAAACCCTGGGCTGACTATAAAATCAGGGACTATGTGTAGGACCCGCGTTAATCCATTGATTCAGCAAGTGCTCGCAGAGCGCCCTCTGGGGGCCACGCAGGGGAAGGATACAGATAAAAAGCAGTCTGCTTCAAGGAACAGTCCAGGATCCTGCATGGATTTCCCTGCAGGCCCTCCCTGACCTCAGTGCTGGAGAACAGGTTTGATGGCTGGGCCAGGGCTGCAGGTCTCACGGTCAGTCGGAGCAGCCTAGAGGGCGTCTCCTCCAGGCCTGAATGGCCTGAGTGGAGCGGGCTTTGTCCTCCAGCAACTTCGGACTGCCCCTCTGCCCGACCTAGATGTCACCACTCCCATCTGAGGGCACCCGCAGAGTCCCATCACTTGAGGAAGCAGGATGCTCTAAAACTTACTGAAGTTTAGTCCGACTTAAATGCATGTTTTCTTTCTTCTCTAAAACCCAAGACTCCATTTCCTGGGATTCTCACGCTTCTGAACAGAGTAAGGGCTACTTTGTTGGAGCCAAGACTATTTTTTAGTAATGTTTTCCAAAATGAGTCCTGCAGAAGATCCACAGATCACAGTTATTAGGAAAACAGAAAAGGATTCCAAGGTCAAGTACATTCAAAATATAATTCAGATTATGTCTTCCTCTTGGAGAGTCACCCAGAGCCCCAGCCTGGCCACTAACTACATATGAGGCTGCAGATGAGACATTATTGTGGCTTTGTTTCCTCAAATATAACACTGGGGGTGGGGGGATCGTTCTGCCCCCTATCATTCTAAATTTCAAAAAAAAAATGTTCTGGTGTACTTTCTCCCTTTGATCTGCATGCCTTCTTTCTCCCACTCTCTTCTCCCTACATTTACATGATATACGTATATATGATTAAGATATAGATATGATTTTCACTAATTGAAGGAAATAAAAGGACAAAAGTTCTACAGAAAAATGGGCAAAAGGCTAGTATGTGTACAATCCATTTTCTCCCACTTCCTTTCTGAAACTGGCTCTCCTTGAGGGGACTATGCTAATCACTATGGAACTGCTGTGAGACTTCAGCACTCACGTGAACATGATTCAGAGAACTCATTTTATTACGATCAGTTTCCAAATAAATAAATCTAAACCATATCTAATGTCATTATCAGGCCTGCAACAAAATTCACTAGATTTAAACCCCCAGGTTAGGATCATACTAAGAAAAAAGGGGAGTTGACACTTAACAGCCAGTACCAGAGGGATTTCTTGTTTCAAGCAGGGATTTCAAAGCTAGCTTAGCCTTTGGAGGACAATGACCACTTAAGATGGTAGGAAAAACAAATGTCTATTTTTATCAATGAATAGGAAATATAACTGGTGACGATTCAAGAAAGAAAATCTTTAGGGGTTTCTCATGTTCCGAACATAATACATTCCTGCCCAGAAAAGGCCCATTCTTAAAACCTGTGCAGAGTGGGTCTGGCTCTGGTGGCTGCGGATCCCAGGGCACCGTGAACCCACTGCCTGCTCTGGATGGCCGCCGTCTCAGCTCCAGTCGGCCTCGATCATTGCAAACAGCTGGCTGAGCCGTTTCTGAATGTCAGGCCCACTCGGAGCACGGCAGGATTTTGTGTGCACTCGGATGTGTTCGGCAAGTTTAGACTTATAAATGAAGCCCTTCCCACAGTCGCCACAGGCAAAAGGCCTCTCTGGCCTATGTATGCGCTGGTGCCTAAGCATGTGTCCCTTTTCCCGGAAGGTTTTGTCACACTCAGGGCAGTGGAAAGGTCTCTCCCCCGTGTGAAGGCCTTGGTGGCTAAGCAGCTGAGCCTTCAAGCGGAAACTCTTGTCACATTTGGGACACTGAAAAGGCTTCTCCCCTGTGTGTGTCCTAATGTGTTCGATGAGTTTCGACTGCTTCGCAAAGCCTTTGCCACACTCGCAGGAGAACGGCATCTGCCCTCTGTGCAGCAGCTGGTGGGCCTTCATGTCAGCCTTCACGCGATAGCTCTTGTCGCACTCGGGGCACTGGAAGGGCCTCTCTCCTGTGTGCAGGCGCTGGTGACTCAGCAGCTGCCCCTTGAGGCGGAAACTCCTGTCGCAGTCAGGGCACTGGAAGGGCCTCTCCCCACTGTGCACACGCAGGTGCTCGGTGAGCTTGGACTGCCTGGTGAAGCCCTTGCCGCACTCCGCACAGGAGAACGGCCTCTCCGCACTGTGGGTGCGCTGGTGGGCCTTCAGGATGCCCTTCAGGCGGAAGCTCTTGTCACACTCGGGGCACTGGAAGGGCCTCTCCCCACTGTGCACGCGCAGGTGCTCACGGAGCTTGCACTGGTGGGTGAAGCCGCGGCCACACTCGCCACAGGAGAACGGCCTCTCCCCGCTGTGGCGGAGCCGGTGGGCTCTCAGCATGCTCTTCAGGCGGAAGCTCAGCTCACACTCGGGGCACTGGAAGGGCTTCTGGTCGGTGTGCAGACGCTGGTGCCTCAGCAGCTGTCCCCTCTGGCGGAAGTTCCTGCCACACTCACCACACCAGAAAGGCTTCTCCCCGCTGTGCACGCGGGTGTGTTCGGCGAGTTTGCACTGCTTGCTGAACCCCTTGCCGCACTTCCTGCAGGAGAAGGGTCTCTCTCCACTGTGCACACGCTGGTGGACCTTCAGCAGGCCGCTCAGGCGGAAGCTCTTGTCGCACTCCAGGCACAGGAAGGGCTTCTCTCCCGTGTGCACCCTGATGTGGCCAGTGAGCTTGGCCCTGGTAGAGAAGCATTTGTCGCATGCCGTGCAAGAGAATGGCCTCTCCCTGGCAGGGCAGCGCTGGAGGGCGACCTCCAGACCCCCAGTCAGGTGGCAGTGCCCCTCACGAGCTGGACGTGGGCCTGGCCTCTCTCCTGAGTGCACACTGCTGAGCTGGGCCTCCTCACAGGCCTCGGTGCCTTCTCTGCAGCAGACTGGCCTCGTCCTGCTGTGCCGGCCCTGGGGAGCCTGCATGCAAGGCTTTGGGAGGAAGTTTGTGTCATGTCGGGAGCACTGGGAAGGCATCTCCCCCTGGTGCAGAAGGTGGTGGCTGAGCAGGGCCCGCCTATGATGGAAGCGCATGTTACATTCAGGGCACTGCAATGGGCTCTTCCCTGCATGTGCAGCCAGATGTCTAAGCAAACCCTGCTTTAGGCGGAAGCTCCTCCCACATTCATGACATCCGAAGGGCCTCTGCCCCGGAGTGATGATCCGCTGATGCCTCAGGTCAGCTTGTTTGCTGAATTTTTTCCAGGCTCCACGGGGCTGGTCCTTCGAGTGGCTCCCCTGGTGCTTCTCTACGTGACTCTTCTTCCAAAAGCTTTCCCCGCAGACAGGGCAAAGGTGTGGGGCACCCTCCCGGGAGGGTACCTCCTGGAGGCCTGGGGGACCCAGAGTTCTGAGGTTCTGTACTCTTTCTCTGTGGGCGGCTTCCCTGGGACAGTGGACTGCTGGGAGAAGAGCCTGTGGATCATGCCTGTCTGGCTTCATGAGGGTGACGCCTTGGTCTGGCCCGAAGGAAACATCTTCACTTTTTCCTAATACGGGTTCAGAGGAACACTGGCTCTCCAGAGGATCTACTGGAAAATGGCATTCGGGTTCTCCTGAACTCACAGCTTGCTGGCTTCCTGAAACTGAAACCGAAACCTCAGTCAGAATCCCAGTCTACAGCAAGACTAAAGGCTCACGTCACCAGTAAAGAGATCTGTAATGGTGGCCTGTGACGGCCTGGGGACCCAGTTCCCACTGAGATGCACAAGGGCACACTTCATGACCAGGAGTCGGGTGAGACACTGCTGAAACAAACCAGACAGACTTTCTTAGACTCACACTGAAAAGAGGAAAATACACATCACAAGTGCAGGGCCTAGCCTCTGGAACCACGTGTCCACTGCAACTCCTGTCAAGCTCCTGCAGCGACAGGGAACAGTGAGACTGCTGTGGGAATGAAGTGAGTCAGTGTGTGCCGCGTGCTCAGCATGGGCCTGGTGGACTGCACGTGCTGTCTGCGCTCATCACGATGACCCTTCAGGACCATCAGACTTGCCCATTCTGGTGTACAGACATTCCTGGAGTCAAGAAGGGAGGACGGCCCTGACCAGTTTGGCTCAGTGATTAGAGCATCGGCCTGCAGTTCAGAGAGACCCGGGTTCGGTTCGGTTCCCGCTAAGGGCACGTGCCTCAGTTGCAGTTTGTCCCCGGCCCTGGTTGGTTGTGCAGGTGGCAGCCACTCAATGTGTCCCTTTCACGTCGATGTTTCTCTCTCTCTCTTCCTCTCTCTCCCTCCCACTCTATCTCAACAAAAAACTGGAAAAATGTCCTCGGGTGAGGATAAAAAAAAAAGAAGGGAGGACGGCAGTATCACTGACAGTCCTGATACCTGGCTCCGTGCAATCCACAAGCCATCCCTAAGCCAGGTAGCAAGGCCTTACTTCTGTTCCTCCCTGTTCACACTACTCCTTCCAACCTTTTGAAAGGGTCTGTGGCGGCCCGGGCCAATTTGGCTCAGCGGTTAGAGCATCGGCCAGCAGTCCAGAGAGACCCAGGTTCAGTTCCCACTAAGGGCATGTACCTCGGTTGCAGTTTGTCCCCGGCCCTGGTTGGTTGTGAAGGTGGCAGCCACTCGATGTGTTCCTTTCACGTCGATGTGTGTGTCTCTCTCTCTCTCTCTTCCTCTCTCTCCCTCCCACTCTATCTGAACAAAAAATGGAAAAATGTCCTTGGGTGAGGATAAAAAATAAAATAAAATAAATAAAAATAAAATGGTCTGTTGTGCCCAACCGGTGTGGCTCACTGGCTTAGCATCCACCCATCCACCAGGAGGTTGCCAGTTTGATTCCCAGTCAGGGCACATGCCCAGGTTGTGGGTTCGATCCCCAGTGGGGGAGTGGGGGCATGCAGGAAGGCGGCCAATTGATGTTCTCTCTCATCGATGTTTCTTTCTCTCTCTCCCTCTCCCTTCCTCTCTCTCTGAAATCAATAAAGAAGCCCTGGCTGGTTTGGCTCAGCGGTTGGAGCATCAGCCTGTGGACCAGAGAGTCCTGGGTTCAGGGGCACGTACCTTGGTTGCAGTTTGTCCCCGACCCTGGTTGGGGTCTCACACTGGTGTTTCTCTCTCTCTCTCTTCCTCCCCCTCTCCCTCCCACTCTATCTGAAGATAAATGCAAAAATGTCCTCAGGTGAGGATAAAAAAAATAAATAAAACAAAATCAATAAAGAAAAAAATATTTTATAAATAAATAAATAAAAGAGTCTCTTGAAATAACAGATGGCAAAAAGTGAAGAAGTTTGTGGAGAAAAACTGTCTCTCTCCAGAAAGCAGCAGCTAAAAGCTAAACAAATGACTGACAAGATTTCTTGGAACAATGGCCCCACTGGAATTTCTCATTCTGTCCCTGGCGCTGACTCCGAAGAATCCAAGTCTCAGCCTCTCCATCAGGAGAGGAAACCGGCGAAGGGAGCTAAGCTTTAGCCATTCAAACAGAGGGGAGGAATGACTTCCCCCACCCACACTTACTGAGCTCTTACTGTATCTCAGGCAGCTTTCTAACACTTTAATCCTACAGCGCAGGTACTTTTATTAGCTCATTTTACAGGACAGGAAGTGAAATCCTGAGAGGTTGAATAACTTGCCCAAGATCATCCAGAAAAGGCAAGATCTGGATTCAGGCTCCAGAACGCATACTCCTCACCACTACGCTTAACTGCCTTTCTCCAGAACATAGATGTCAAACCTCAGCCTGTCAAACAAGATGACAAGATCAGAGAATCAGAACTAAGAAACCCGAATGTGACATCTTAAGTACAGGGCTGATTTCTTCGTACTTACCCCAAAACTGCTGCCCCTCATTAAGAGGATCAAAATGCAAATCAGCAGGGTTGCAAATGAAGTTTCCCGACTTCTGTGGTTCTCCTAAATTCCTGAAGAGCTCTCTCCCCTGTTCAAGCCGAGATATCAGTTCCGGTTTGGGAAGTCCACCATCTGTACAGAGAAGTCCAATGAGAGTCTGGTTTCCTTGAGTGTGGAATTTAAAGCACACTGAGTTATTTTGAAATCTCTAATAATTTACTCAGGACAATGTATGAGAAGAGAAGTCAAAAACAGATTACAGGTTTACTCAAAGAAAAGCAAAACTTCTGCCCTGGCCGGTTTGGCTCAGCGGTTAGAGCGTTGGCCTGCGGTCCAGAGAGACCCAGGTTCGGTTCCTGCTAAGGGCATGTACCTCGGTTGCAGTTTGTCCCCGGCCCTGGTTGGTCGTGCGGGTGGCAACCACTCGATGTGTCCCCTTCACGTCGATGTTTCTCTCTCTCTCTCCCTCCCGCTCTATCTGAACAAAAAATGGAAAAATGTCCTCAGGTGAGGATAAAAAAAAAAAAAAAAGAAAAGCAAAACTTCCCACACACAATATGAGATAAGCTACCTGGGCCTGCTAGATAAATTGTGCTATTTTAATCTTGTCTTTGCCCCCATATATCTAGCAATGCTGTATTTTTTTTTTCTTTATTGATTTTAGAGAAGGAGGAAGGGAGGAGAGAGAGATAGAAACATCCATGAGAAAGAACATGGATTGGCCGCCTCCTACATGGCCCCCCACTGGGGATTTGGCCCACAACCTGGGCATGTGCCCTGACCAGGAATTGAACCAGCGACCTCTTGGTACATGGGTCGATGCTCAGCCACTGAGCCACACCAGCCAGGCAGCAATGCTGTATTTTGTCATGAATTTCATAAAACTCACTGAAGTGTGCTCTGAGAATGGCAGGACAACTGCTTAGACAACTGGAGACCGTGGGAAAAGGGGGATATAAAAAAATAAGAATTGGGCCCTGGCTGGTTTGGCTCAGCGGCTAGAGCATTGGCCCGGGGACCAGAGAGCCCAGGTTTGGTTCCTACTAAGGGCACGTACCTCGGTTGCAGTGTGTCCCCAGCCACGGTTGGGGTTGTGCGGTTGGCAACCAGTTAATGTGTTTCTCTCGCATTGATGTTTCTCTCTCTCTCTTCACCCCTCTCTCCCTCCCACTCTATCTGAAGATAAATACAAAAAATGTCCTTTGGTGAGGATAAAAAAAAAAAGAACTGGAATGGCTATCCTCAGAAATTTCAAAGTAGGTGACTCTAGCAAAAATACTCTGAGAAGTACTTCTAGTGACACTGCTAATAACAACCTAAAACACAGATGAGTTCTTAGAACAGAGAGTTAAAATAGTCACAAGAATCTCAAATATGTCCCATTCCCCCATAAGAATGTTTACTCTCTGTATTTTCAAGTAAAACATTCTTTCAATAATATATATATTTATGCCCGGATGGTGTGGCTCAGTGGATTGAGCATTGTCCCATGGACTGAGAGGTCCTGGTTGGATGCCTGGTCAGGGCCTACCTGCCCATGTTGCAGGCTCAATCCCCAGTAGGGGGCATGCAGGAAGCAGCTGACTGACGTTTTTCTCTCACATCAATGTTTCTACCTCTCTCTCTAAAAAAATCAACAACAAAAAAACACATATTGTAATATATATTTAATACAACCAAGAGCGTGCTTCACAGATTGCTAAAGGAGATTAGTGAACGGTTCAGATCAGAGAAACAGGGAGATCTGGGCGGAGTCTTAGGGATGAAATGTCAGAGTGGCACCGGACAGGTGGAAACTGACCACACTGTTTCAGATTCTCCTCAGCCCTCTGAAATCTGACTTTGATACCCAAAGAATTCTAAGGCTGCTCTCATGAGAAAATAAATCACTATCTTTTATTTAAATCCATGCATCTATTATCAATCTTTATCTGGGTTGAAACTCTCAGCAGCTTTTTTTTTTTTTGCTATGTGCCCCTAGCGGGAACCGAACCCAGGTTCTCTGGTCCACAGGCTGACATTCCAGCCGCTGAGCCAAACCGGCCAGGGCTCTCAGCAGCTTTTAAAATAAAAGTATTTATCCAAAAATAAACAAAGCAATATTCATTTACATAACACCAAAAAGAGTAAAATACTTAGGAATAAATTTAATAAAAGAAATGCAAGACTTGCCCTGGCCGGTTTGGCTCAGCAGTTGGAGCGTCGGCCTGCGGTACAGAGAGACCCGGGTTCGGTTCCCGTTGAGGGTACGTACCTCGGTTGCAGTTTGTCCCCGGCCCTGGTTGGTCGTGCGGGTGGCAGCCACTTGATGTGTCCCTTCATGTCAATGTTTCTCTCTCTCTCTCTCTTCCTCTCTCTCCCTCCCGCTCTATCTGAACAAAAAATGGAAAAATGTCCTCGGGTGAGGATTAAAAAAAAAAAAAAAAAGAAATGCAAGACTTGTACAATAAAACTATAAAATATTATTGAAAATAATTCAAAAGTCCTAAATAAATGGAAAGATATCCCATGTTCATAAATTAGAAGACTTAATGTTAAGACAACAATTCTTGCCCTGGCCAGTTTGGCTCAGCGGTTGGAACGTCCGCCTTCGGTCCGGAGAGACCCGGGTTCGGTTCCCGCTAAGGGCACGTACCTCGGTTGCAGTTTGTCCCCGGCCCTGGTTGGTCATGCGGGCGGCAGCCACTCGATGTGTCCCTTTCACATCGATGTTTCCCTCTCTCTCTCTTCCTCTCTCTCCCTCTCACTCTATCTACTCAAAAAATGGAAAAATGTCCTCGGGTGAGGATAAAAATAAAAAAAAAGACAACAATTCTCCCCAAATCCCATCTTTGGGTGAGGATTAACAACAACAAAAAAGGTTGCCTTTGGGTAACTAACTGAGTGAGGGGGTGAGAATGAAACAAGAGACTTACCATTTGGGGCTTCTCTGAAAGACCTGATTTTTTATAAACATATTTGATAATAAAAAGAATTATAGCCCTGGCTGGTTTGGCTCAGCGGTTAGAGCATCGACCTGCGGTCCTGAGAGACCCGAGTTCGGTTCCCACTAAGGGCACGTACCTCGGTTGCAGTTTGTCCCCGGCCCTGGTTGGTCGTGCGGGTGGCAGCCTCTCGATGTGTCCCTTTCATATCGATGTTTCTCTCTCTCTCTCTTCCTCTCTCTCCCTCCCACTCTACCTGAACAAAAAATGGGAAAATGTCCTCGGGTAAGGATAAAAAAAAAAAAATAATTAAAAAAAAAAAGAATTATAAAGACCCAGTAAGCAGCAATTCTAAAGGGAACGCCCGTTACCACAGCCACACAGACAGCTGCTGTTCAACATGTCAGAGGGCAGCCTTGCCGATGCCACTGCAGGGGAGTGACATTAGCTTTTCGGAGGCATATGGACACCCCTGGAAAAGGTGACAGACACACACACCCTCAGTTCAAATATCCAGGTACTTAGGATGTGAGCTAGGCCTGTGCCTATGTGGAAAATCCTATGTAATGACTAAGTGCCCTGAAATATATTCAGTCACCCCTGACCATCTCACATTCCATGCTGCCTCAAATATTCTCATGTAACAATGTGCACCCCTGAGTAAAGATTAGAAGTGCTGACAGGAGTATTAACAGAAAAATATGGGGTAAAAGTGCCTTTCTGAGTGAATTTCTGAGAAACCTGGCTACCTGGGAAACACGATCATCAATGACTGAGCCTTTCACAGTACCCAGTTCCAGGACTTACCCAGAGAGGTGAACACTTCTTACCTAGAGAAACCAGAACATCGTAATTGGTTCTCATCACGTGCTTGTAAAGCTCCTTCTGCCAGGCCTCCAGATCCTGCCATTCTTGCTCCGAGAAGTAAATGGCAACATCCTCAAAAGTCAGAGGTACCTGAAAGTATACACAACACACACATACAGTCATGATTGCTTCAAAAGGGCTCCAGTTCCTTCTCATCCATTTAAAAGACTTTTGGAGCGGACAGTTTTTGTCTGTTTGGCAGCTTCTTCCTTGGGAACGGCTCCTCCCTTGCTCCAATTATGTGGTTCTGTTGTTAACCACAACCCCTTCCACATTCCGAAAAGAATCCAGCACTTTTACTCTTGCTAATGAGATGCAACATTTCTTTACACCTTTGCCAGCACAGGGTGTCCTTAAGACATTATTTTTTGCCAATGTGTTGGGTAAAAAATCGTATTTCGTTGTCTTAATATGCATTAATCTGTGAGGCTTAGCATCCTATCCATACCTTTTTAGGAGGGGGGAGTCTCCACATATCCTGTTCATATTCTTTGTTCAATTCTGGTGGGCTCTTAGAATTTGAATAAACTCTCTTACATTAGAGTTAATAACTCTTTGAGTGACTAGCAAATGTTTTCTCCCAGTGTATCGACTGTATTTTGACTTTATCTTCTGCTACATATTTTGACCCTTTCATTTAGTTAAAAATCTGAGTCTTTTCCATATTGTTTCCAGCTTCTTCTTTTATTTTATGTGTTTCCCACATCATAAGTTTATACAGATATTCTCATTTTTTAACATTTAGATCTGCAGTTTAATCCTATAGATGTGACTGGCATCTTTACTTACATACATATGGAGAGCCAATCATACAACACTATTAAACACACCAATCTTTCTCCTGAGATTGAAATACCAACCTTCAGCCTTCGCACATACAGTTGACCCTTGAAACAACTCCAGAGCAGTGGGAAAGCTGCATGTAACTTTTGATTTCCCCAAAACTTCAGTCATCCCTTAGTATCCATGGGGGATGGTTCCAGGACCCCTTTAGATAACAAACATTCATGGATACTCAAGTCCCTTGTGTGGCACGGAATAAGGCATAAGTCGGCCTCCTGTATCTGCAGATTCCCAATTGACGATAAACAATACTGTTTGCAGTTAACTGAATCCACATATGTGAAGCCCGGGAATAAGGAAAGTCAACTGTACATTTATTCAAAAGAATCCGGGAAACAGACTCGTGCAGCTCAAATCCATGTTGTTCAAGGGTCACCTGTGGTAGCTTTTCATATATGTGAATCTACAGATTCTGATACACTGTCCATAGTTTCTGATTCCAATCCTTGTGCATTTTTGTAATTCTGGGAGGGCAAGTCATTCTCGCTCCCCCTTTCTTTTCCAAGCTACTGTTGTGAACTCCTGGAATATGTATTCTTCCTTATTAACTCCAAAATGACTTTGTCCAGTAAAAAAAAAAAATCGTATTTGGATTCAGTTTGAATTGCATTAAATTATGTATATTTTAGGAAAGATTGATCACATCTGAGAACATGTTCTACCACTCTATTTGGTCTTGCTTGATATTATTTCATAAACTAAAAACTTTTCTTCATAAATGTTCTGAATCTTTTTTAACTTTATTACTGGTGTTGTGGTTTTTCCACATCTGCCACCTCAAATCATCACTAGGATTAAAAAAGAGTATTGATTTCATTCTGGCCGGTTTGGCTCAGCAGTTAAGAGTACTGGCCTGCGGACCGGAGAGTCCCTGGTTCGGTTCCCACTAAGGGCACGTACTTCAGTTGCTGTTTGTCCCTGGCCCCAGCTGGGTTCGTGTGAGTGGCAACCACTCGATGTGTCTCTCTCACATCGATGTTTCTGTCTCTCTCTTCCTCCCTCTCTCCCTCCCGCTCTATCTGAAGATAAATGCAAAAATGTATTAAAAAAAAGTATTGATTTCTGTAAACTTACTTTGTATACAATTAATGTAGCATATTTATCAATCCTAATAGTTTTTGGTGGGGTACAATCATAACTCAAATAAAGATAATTTTTCCATCTTTTATATTATCATACTTAATTAGTACCTTATTTGGAGTTTCAAGATTTTGTATCCTGATTTGGAAAACTTAATCTATTCTAGGAATATAAAAGATATTCTCCTGAATTCTATGTATATTTTCATAGCTTTATTAGAATGAAGAATTTTTCCCACATGAAACTCATTTCTGTATATAGTAACAAGAAGGGACATAATTCTTTTTCCAAATGATATCCAACTGACACAAAACTTATTGAATAGTCTGTCCTTGTATCGATTTGGGATTTTTTCATAAACTAGTTTTCTATGTATACTTCGGTATATTTTTGTTCCACTGGTCAATTTGCCCATTCTTGCTCCAATACTACATTGTTTCTTATAGTTTTAGCAAACATTTTGCTATTTTTTACAGAAAATTGTCTTGATTTCTATTGTCTATTTTCTCTTCTACATAAATAGAAAACATAGTTTGCCAAACTTACTCTATTGGGATTTTGATAGGAATACACCAAGTACATGGATTAATTTTGGGAGAACTGGATCTCTAAAATATGGGATCTTCCCACCTAGAAACATGATGTCTTTCATTTATCCAGATATTTTTATGTGCTTTAATAACATTTACAGTTTTCTTCGTGTAGATATTATATAATTCTTGATAGGTTTATTCCTAGGAATTTTAGAGATTTAGTTGCTACTATGAGAACTGACCAAGTAGGAATATATGAAATGCACATGCATACCCTTCAAATACCTATCTGACCCTGAGTGACAAGCCCTACCTTTCTACACCTGGTGTTACAACTTTCCATCTGATTTCAGATGATATTCCTTCCACTACTTCCCTGTAATTCACAAGCCCCACTCTTTCTTACACCCACTTCCACAAATTTCAGGTAGTTTTAAAGCTTAATTATTTCTTAATAATTTAACATGCATAAAACTGTTATTAGGTTCCTCTCTTTTCCTTTTAAAGACATAAAGATATTTCTATTGATTTTGAGAGAGAGAGAAAGGACAAGGAAGAGAGACAGAAACATCTATGTGAGAGCAAAACAGATCAGCTGCCTCCTGCAGGTCCCCTACCAGGGATCGAGCCCACAACCCCGGCATGTGTCCTGAACTGGGGATCAAACTGGCAACATTTCAATGGTGCATACTATGATGCCCAACCAAATGAGCCACACTGGCCAGAGCTTTTTAAATTGATTTGAGAGAGAAGAAAGGGGAGGGATAGGGAGAAATGGAGGGTGGGGTGGAGAGAGAGGGAAACCAAACTGATTTGTTGTTCCACTTATTTATGCATTCACTGGTTGATTCTTGCATGTGCCCTGACCGGAGATCAAACCAGCAACCTTGGCATGTAGAAAGGACACTCCAACCAGCCGAGCTACCTAGCCAGGGTTCCTATCTTTTTAACGTCGCTGACAAACTTTTTTTTTTTTAATCCTCACCGGAGGACATTTTTCCATTTTTGTTCAGACAGAATGGGAGGGAGATAAAGAGACAGAGACAGAGAGAAACATCTATGTGAAAGGGACACATCGAGTGGCTGCTTCCCGCACAACCCCAACCAGGGCCGGGGACGAACTGCAAACAAGGTACATGCCCTTGACCAGAATCGAACCCAAGACTCATTGGTCTGGGGGCTGACGCTCTAACCGCTGACCCAAACCGGCCAGCGCTAACATTTTTTAAAATCATTAAGTTATTGATTTTAGAGAAAGGGAGAAGCACTGATTCGTTGCTCCACCCACTCATGCATCTACTGGTTGACTGTCCCATGTGCCCTGTCTGGAGACCAAACCTGCAAACACGAAGTATTAGGTCGATCCTCCAGTCAACTGAGCCACCACCGACCAGGGCCACCACTGACAAACTTCTTTTTGTTTTGTTTGTTTTTTATCCTCACCCGAGGATATTTTTCCATTTTTTGTACAGATAGAGTGGGAGGGAGAGAGAGGAAGGGAGAGAGAGAGAGAAACATCGACGTGAAGGGACACATCGAGTGGCTGCCACCCGCACAACCAACCAGGGCCGGGGACAAACTGCAACCGAGACAAACTTCTTTTTGAATGTTTTATGCCTAACACCATTTTTTGTAAGAGCTGTGGTTTTTATTGCACGCTTTTGCTTGGCACTGTTAATTTTAGAAACACATATATTATAGCAGAACTGAATTTGTTTTTATTTCTGTGTTAAATACACTTATTCTCCTCTTCTCTGGAGTAAATTAATTTATTTTATTTATTTTTTAATTTTTTTTTTCCTTTACTGATTTGAGAGAGAGGAAGGGAGAGGGAGAGAGAGATGGAAATGTCAATGAGAGAGAACACCGATTGGCGGCCTCCTGCATGCCCCCCACTGGGAATCAGGCCCACAACCTGGGCATGTGTCCTGGCTGGGAATCAAACCGGTGATCTCTTGGTGCATGGGTCAATGCTCAACCACTGAGCCACACCTGCTGGACATAAATTCCTTAATTTTAAATAAACTGTTTTCAAAAATGCTCAGAAAGCCTTGTTTATGACTTTAATTTTCAGTTTACAAGATCCAGAAAATCACAAAACATTATAACAAGCATCTTTGTATATACCATTGAGTTAACAAATTAAACATTTTTCTTTAAATTTCCTTTCAATAAAACAGATATGACAGATGAAGCTTAAGTCTTCTTAGTTCCCTCTTCAATCTTGTTCTTATACTCAGTCCTGTTCTCCTCCCTTCCGAGACACAAACAGCATGATGAATGTGGTAACTTTTCAGTCATGTTTTTCATTTTTAATACTCATAAATATGTATAAATAAAATATACTACTGCTTTGTCTTTTTTTTTAATATGTGTTTTTATTGATTTCAGAGAGAAGAAGGGAGAGGGGGAGAAATATTGATCAGCTGCCTCCCGCACGCCCCCTACGGGGGATCTAGCCCCAAACCCAGGCATATGCTCTGACAGGGAATCCAACCAGACCTCTCAGTCCATGGGACTATTCTCAATCCACTGAGACACGCTGGCCTGGCTATTACTTTGTCTTTTATACAAAAATGCTTCATTATACTGCAACTTTTATTTTTCACTCTACATTTTGAGATCTGTCCATATTGAGAGATAACTGATTTATTGTAATTTTCTATAGAGTTCCATTGTCTGAATGCCACAATTTTAATCCATTTTTTAACCATAGCCCACTCACTGTTTTCAGTTCTGGAAATTGCCTGTTCATATCTTTTGCCTCTATTTTTAGTGTGTCATCTGTCCTTTCAATTTTAGAATTTCTTTATATAATTTGTACATTGATTGTTGACTATATTAGGTTGAAAATGCTTTCTCCTAGTGTTTCTAATCTTTTAATTTTATTTATTAGGTTATTTTGTTTTCGGTTTTAAGAAATAATTTTCTATGCTAGAGTTACAAAAATATTCTACATTGTCTTCCAAAAGGCTAAAGTTTCACTTTTAAGTTCAGATTTTTAATTAACATGAAATGTGATTTTTTTAATGGTATACAGTAGTGATTACTTTAATGTTTTTTTTTCTCCAAACAGAAAAGTCAATTGTCTCAAACTGCTTCTGAAGGTCTCTGTGTTAGTTTCCTAGGGCTGCTGTAACAAAGGACCACAATCTGGATGGCTTAAAACAATGAAAATGGATGCTCTCTCAATTCTGGTGGCAAGTCTGAAATCAGGGTGTGAGCAGGGCCATGCTCTCTCTGACTGCTCTAAGGGACACTCTATTGCTTGCCTTTTTTTAGTTTCTGGTGGTGGTTGTCCATTCTTGGCATAGGGCATCGCTTGAATCTCTGTCTCGGCTACCACCTTGCCTTCTCCCTCCGTGTAACTGAGTCTCTGTGTCTCTTCTTACAAAGTCATAATGGATTAAGAAGAACCTACCCTACTGCAGGATGGTCTCATCTTTTTTTTAAAATCATCCTCACCCGAGGACATTCTTCCATTCTTTGTTCAGGTAGAGTGGGAGGGAGAGAGAGAGAGAGAAACATCGACATGAAAGGGACACATCGAGTGGTCCCACCTGCACAACCAACCAGGGCCGGGAACAAACTGCCACCGAGGTACGCTCCCTTAGCGGGAACCGAATCCGGGTCTCTCCGGACCGCAGGCCGATGCTCTAACCGCTGAGCCAAACCGGCCAGGGCAGAATGGTCTCATCTTAACCAATCATATCTGCAACAACCCGACTTCTAAGTAAGGTCACAATCTGAGGTTCCAGGAAGGACTTGAATTTGGGGGAGATATTATTCAGTTCAATCTGGTAGTCTGCTTCTGGGTGCTCTTTTGGTTTCCATTGCTCTGTGTCTGTCTCTGCACAAAAAAAGCACTGTATTAATTCTACAAATTTGTAGTAAGTCTTATTATCTTCTGGGGCAATTTCCCCTTCTTTGCTTTTTTTTTTTTTGTTTTGTGTTTTTTTTGGAGAATCACAGTTTTTACCTTTATTTTTCCAAATAAAATTTAGAATTGTTCATGTAAATTCATAAAAATCTTATTGACATTTTGATGAAACTGCAGGAAACTAATACATTAACTTGGAAGAAGAGTTTCATCTTTACCATTTAGTCTTCCCGTCATCTATAGGCATGGTATATCTCCTATTTATCATTCCCTCTATAAATGTAATTTTTCTATATTTAATCAACGAATTACATCTTTTGTGGAGATTGTTAATGGTATTTTAAAATTAACAATCTCATGAATTTGTCTAGGAATCAGCAAAATATAAAAATAAAAAAGCTCAATATGCAAGTTTAAATAGAAAAACATATTAAAAATAATGGCCACTCCCTTTAAACCTCAGTTTCCACGAAACAGTAAGAAATAATAGGTACTCTAGATTTTTACAGCCCCCTCTAGTCCTTCCAACGCATCGTCGCCCTCCTTCCTTCTCACTCTCAACACAAACTTGAACAGGTCCGCGGCCGACTTCTGACATGTAAGCCCCTGAAACAGCATTTCGTGCGCGCAGACTCCTCGGTCCTTTCAAACACCTGTCCTGCCGTCGGCAACTGAGGCTGCGGGAACTGCAAGAGGCGTCGCCGGCCCGGCCCGCCTCCGTCCGGCCCCTAGCCCGGCCCCGGCCCGGCCGCTCCGGGCTCCGCCTGGCCCACGCTCGGCTTCGTTCGGGTGTCGGGCCCCGAGCGGCGGCCACCGGCTCCGTCCAGGGCCCGACCCCACACCCAGAGCCTCGCGCGACCCTAGACTGCGCCCCACTTGTCCGCCAAACTGGAAACAGAATACCCGCGCCAATTCTGGGTGTCCGCGTGAGGGACCCCTCTTACCGGAGCCGGTTCGGCCATAGCCCTTCAGGGCTCCGCCCGGCCCAGGCGGTCGCGCAGAACAGCCCCCGCCGCCGCCGCTTGTCTCCTGCCTCCCGCTCCGCCCCAGCGCGCAGGCCCAGCCACGGCGCGGTGCACGCTGGGGCTCGCGACCGGCCTACGCCCGCCCCCCAGCGCCCTCTGCGGGCCGGAGGAGCGAAAGTCACCTGCAGATACGGCCGAGGTTGAGCCTACCTGCAGCGGGGCCCGGGCCGGCTGCCACGGTAGCCGCCGGCTCTCGGGGACGGATCTTTGCACTCTCTCGGGGAGGCTCAAGCGTGGCAGAGACCGACGCGAAATGAAAGGGCAGGAGAGGGGGTGGAAATGCAGTCAGCTGGGAATGGATGGAGATGAGACAGACTGGGGCACTTCACTGAGACAGAGACAGGGGAATTCAGGGGGTTCCTTCCTCCACAATGCCAACCTGTCACCTGTGAGGTGACCCCAGGAATCATATTGCTGGGGAGGTGAGACAATCAAGGGGCATTAATAGGAAGGTCCCCCGTGTGGACAACTGGGAGTCCATCCTGTGAGCAGACCAACCCGCAGCTGTCCCTGTGAGGGAGGCTCAGTGATTATCCTCAGAAAGTCACGCAGACACGACATCGCCAACCCCATGGATTTAAATTAGGAACGTGAGTCTAGTCTATAAAATCCAAGTAATACCCTTATAACCTATATATGAAGTTGATCTCAAATTTACTCTGCCTCTCACTCTGCTCGGATTTATGTAATTGCTACTCCTACCTTAAAGGTTTTCTTTTAAAAATTACATATATATAATTTAATAAAAAAATTTTAATACTAGTAAAAGCTGACGGTAATTCTGGTACTCTAATGTAAATGCTCTATTTCCCATGAAACTTTCCGTCACTGTTACAAGAAGTCTCTCCACTCACCAGATCATGTTCTGAAATTAGTTTGCACAAGATCACCTGGGAAAATTGTCGCTGCTTCCAGGGGGGATCCCAATGGTCTGTATTTTTAACGTGTGTCCCAGGTAAAGGCAGAGTTGTCCTGAGGTACAGACATGAAGCCGGCCAGCGCTAACATCCAGCCCGAACACCCAGGCAGAGGCTAGAGGAAAGGGTTTTTTCCTTTGCACAAAGGCACCATCGACTCACCAAGAGGCTTGCACCTACAGGAACATACCAACCAGAGGTGGCACCTCTCCTTTGTTTCCACAGATTCGTGGAGCGCCCTTAATCCCAGCTGACGGATTCAGGTAATCTGGGACCACATGTTGTGCTACAAAGACAGAACATTATTGTAGGCCCTGAAGATCCCTATGGAAGGAAATGTGTTTCTGTCAGAAGAATGTTAAAGATCGACAGTCCAAGAGATGGATGAAGGCTTGCTAGATCAGGCTGGAAAATTGCCTTGTGATAAATTAGGCCACAGAACAAAAAAATGGAGTGATGTCACAGACTGGCAATATTTTTTACTTTAGTACTTAACTCAGAGATTCTAATGTTAAGGTAAGTATATTTCTTGGTGAATTGATACACACAGTTGGAAATACAGAGACGTTAGATATATAACACTGCTTGTTACAATGGATTTTTAAATAATTTAAATTAATGCAGAAGAAAATAACATTTACAAGGCTAAATGTAAATTACATTTATTTTGAGCAATGTAGAGAAATTCCCCCAAGACACAGATGTCTTCTCACCATTTGAGAAAATGAAAATCCACGATGTGAGAAAACAGAAAACCTCAATTAAATAAGGCAGCCGGGTAATGGAAAGCACAGTGAGGTGATGTGGGGGAAACATTTCCATCTGGAACATTTCTTCACTGAGGCTGTGGGTTCAAAATTTAATGAAGGGGTTACCATATTCTTGGATGATACATCAGTGAATGAAAGAGCATAACAGAATAAAAATGTTCCTTCCATGACTGGCAGACCTTGTCTGTGAGAAGTATAGAGGGAAAATGCCCATGGTTTTTCTTTTTATCCTCACCCTAGGACATTTTTCCATTTTTTATTCAGATAGAGTGGGAGGGAGAGAGAGAGAAACATCGATGTGAAAGGGACACATCGAGTGGCTGCCACCTGCATGACCAACCAGGGCCAGGGACAAACTGCAACCAAGGTACGTGCCCTTAGCAGGAACTGAACCCAGGTCTCTCTGGACCACAGGCTGACGCTCTAACTGCTGAGCCCAACCAGCCAGGGCAATGACCATGTTTTTTAGTTTGTTTTTGTTAATCCTCACCCTAGGATATTTTTCCACTGATATTTAGAGAGAGTGGGAGGAAAGGAAGCAGGGAGGGAGAGAGAAACATTGACGTGAGAATGTGAGAGAGACACATCGTCTGGTTGCCTCCCACACATGCCCTGACTGGAGCCAGACAGTGAACCAGCAACCCAGGTACATGCCTTCGACCGGGAATTGAACCCGAAACCCTTTGGTGTGTGGGCTGACACTCTAACCATGGAGTCACACCTGCCAGGGCGATGCCTGCCTATCTTATGTCTGGATAATTTGGGACCTTTGTCAGGGATGTGTCACAGCCTGCCCACTAGGCCTCTGGCCCGTGTGTGAAGCCAGTGTTCTGTGAAGTCTTTATCCTGCCTCAGCCAGAGCCAACAGAGCCGCTGGCTCCACCTAACAGCTGTCCCTGTCACTGTCTGTGTGGCCTGACCTAGAGACTGACGGGCATTTCCCTGGCGTGCACTGCAGCAGTGTGGGTGTTGAGCGCCCCCAGGTACGTAAAGCCCCTTCCACACTCATCACAAGAAAAAGGCCTCTCCCCTCTGTGATGGTGCAGATGGGTCTTCAAACTTCTCTTCTGGAGGAAGCCTTTGCCACATTCGGGACACCTGAAGGGCTTCTGTCCACCGTGCGTGTGCAAATGGACCTTCAAACTTCCCCGAATGCAGTAGCTCTTGTCACACTGGGGACACTGGAAGGGCTTCTCACCACTGTGAACTCGAATGTGCTCTGTCAGCCTGTACTGCTGAGTGAAACTTTTGCCACACTTGACGCAAGAGAATGGTTTCAGGACACTGTGCTGGAGCAGGCGGCTTTTCAAATTTCCTTTGAGTCAGAGGCTCTTCCAGCACTCAGGACACGGGAAGGGCTTCTCCCCACTGTGGACTCTCGCGTGCTCCGTGAGCTGAGACCGCTGAGCGTAGGCCTTGCTGCACTCGCCACACGCGAAGGGCTTGTCGCCCCTGTGCACCCGCTGGTGGAACTTCATGGAGGCCTTCCAGAAGCAGCTCTGGTCACACTCAGGACACCGGAAAGGCTCGCGGCCGCGGTGCAGCCTGCTGTGCGAGTGAGGTGCGAGCGTTGGCGGAAGCTCCGGGGCACTCGCCACAGCGAAGGGCTTGTCCTTGCTGTGGGTGCTCCGTGAGCCTGGCCGGCCGAGCCAGGGTCTTCCCGCCCTGGCACAGGAGAACTGCTGCTTGCTGTGGACGCGGCCCTGGCACAGGAGAACTGCTGCTTGCTGTGGACGCGGCCCTGGCACAGGAGAACTGCTGCTTGCTGTGGACGGGCCGTGGCGGCCCGCCTGCAGGGCCGGGTGAACCGCCTGCCGCACAGCACACAGAACGGCTTCCCCTCGCTGTGCGGGCGCCGGTGGGCCCTCATGGCGTTCTCCCAGAAGGTCCTCCCGCACTCGGGGCACGGGGAGGGCTTCTGCCGCGGTGCTGAAACACGTGGGCTTTCAGGCTGCTCTGTAGGCAGAAACACTTCTTACGCTCAGGACACTGGAAAGGCTTCTCCCCCATATGAACTCTGACGTGTGCAGCGAGTTTGGCCTTGAGGGTGAATTTCCTGCCACATTTGTCACACGAAAACGGCGTCTCCCCACTGTGTGCCCGCTGCTGGGCCCGCACGGCTGTCCTCCGGGAAAAGCTTCGGCCGCACTCCGGACACGGGAAGGGCTTTTCCCCCGCGTGCACCCTGACGTGCTCAGTGAGCGTGGACTGCTAGATGGAACCCTTGCCACGCTCCTGGCAGTAGAATGATCCCGCCCCTTTGTGCAAACACTGACACTTCTTCACAGTGGCTTTATACCGGAAGGCCCTGTCACTCTGGGGGCACTGGAAGGGCCGCTGCCCTGCGTGAACGGCCTGGAGCCGCAGGCCGCACTTCCCGCAGCAGCTCCCCTCGCACTCACCGCGCTGGGAACGCTGCTTCCTGCACAGGACCGCCGGGTGCCCCTCAGGTCAGAGCTCCTGGATTTGCTCTTGTACTTTGGATGTTGACAGGGCTGGCTCTTGGAGTGGTTCCTTCTGTGTTTTGCCAAGTCTCTCTCTTCGTGGAAGACCTTCCTGCAGACAGAGCAAAAATAAGAACTCAGCCCTGGTAGAATTTCCAGGTGACCTGAGGGACCCCTGCTTTATGCCATGGATCATTCTCATCACAGACGCTGTGATGTTGAGGCTTTTATGCATCATTTCTATTTCTTGGAGAAGTTGTAAGGCAGATCTTTGATCTGACAAAATCTTACTTTCCTCCCCTGGTAAGGTGGCACATGAGCTCTGGAGACTATTTAAATAGCATTCCTCTTCTTTGGCGCTGAGAGTTCCTCGGTCACCTGGAGAGAAAAAAGACCCGCCCTCATCAGTGGTGTGTATGACTCTGGTGGGGTTCAAGGACCATTTTCTTTTTTTTTTTCCCTTTATTGATTTTACAGAGAGAGGAAGTGAGAGGGGGAGAGAGAGAGAAACATCGATGAGAGAGATGATCGATTGGCTGCCTCCTGCATGCCCCCCACTGTGGATCGGACCCACAACCTGGACATGTGCCCTGATGGGGAATCGAACCGGCGACCTCTTGGTGAATGGGTCAGTGCTCAACCACTGAGCCACACTGGCCAGACTCAAGGACCATTTTCATGAGGCCAACAGTGTGGGAAAGGGAATCCCCTGATACCTTTCTTGATCTGCCAGCCACAGACCAACTACACTTCAGTTTAACTTTGATGTGCAAATCCTTTCATGATAGGTTAAGAAATGGCTTAGCATGAAAAAATGGCAGGCAAGTTTATCTTGTGAATCTGTGGACGACCCTCAGAGGGTGAGCAGAATTTGGAAGAAAGTAAAATGAGTTTCGTTAAGAATCTAATTTTTCCTTTGTAATTATTTCCTTAAATCTGTGAAATAGCAGAATAGAAAGGCTTCAGGTCATATTCTTATTCTTTTCATTTAGAAACACGATACAGCTCTGCCGGTGTGGCTCAGTGGTTGAGCATCGAGCCATGCATCAAGAGATTGCCAGTTCGATTCCCAGTCAGGGCACACGCCCAGGTTGTGGGCCAAACCCCCAATGGGGGGCATGCAAGAGGCAGCCAACTGATGTTCTCTCTCATCGATGTTTCTCTCTCTCTCCCTCCCCTTTCCCCTCTCTCTCAAACCAATAAAGAAGAAAAAAATTTAAAAAAGAAAGAAAAGAAACACAATACATTTATTACGAATAAAATTCTGTTTACTATTATTGGTGGACACATAATCAGCAAAAGAATTCAAGGGAAGGAAAATAAGTTTCAAATATTTGCGTGAGGAGCCTCCATACTGTTTTCTTTTCTTTCTTTCTTTTTCTTTTAATGTTTTACAGATTTTAGAGGAGAGGAAGGGAGAGGGAGAGCGAAACATCAATGTTAGAGCGACACATCGACTGGCTGCCTCCTACACATCCTCTACTGGGGATTGAGCCTGCAACCCAGATGCATGCCCTGACTGGTGATTGAACCACGATCATTCTGTGCAGGGGACAATGCTCAACCAACGGAGCCACACCAGCCAGGGCCTCCATACTGCTTTCCAAAGAGGCCGCAACAACTTCCGTTGCCCCCAGTGGTGTACAGGTGTTCCCTTTTCTCCACATCGGCTCCCACACGGGATGGAGAACAGGGCCACCACATGTCAGGTCATATTCTTACCCCCTTCTACCACTGATTTCAGGAAAAGTTTTTTGGAAGAAATGTGAATAAAAACTATTTTTTTAATTAAAAAAATTGTTTAAGCATATTTTTTTCATTTACTGATTTTAAAGACAGAAGAAGTGAGAGATAGATAGAAACATGGATGAGAGAGAACATTGATTGGCCACCTCCTGCATGACCCCCACTGGGGATTGGGCCCACAACCTGGGCATGTGTCCTGAACAGAAATTGAACCGGTGACCTCTTAGCGCATGGGTCGACGCTCAACTACTGAGCCAGACTAAATTTTTTTTCTTTATTGATTTTAGAGAGAGAGGGAGGGTGAGACAGAAACATCAATGACAGAGAACATCAAATGGCTGCCTCCTGCATGCCCCCACTGGAGATTGGGCCCACAATCTGGGCATGTCCCCTGATCGGGTATCAAACCAGCGACCTCTTGGTGCGTGGGTCAATGTTCAACCACTGAGCCACACCAGCCGGGCAGAACTATATTTCTTAATGATGTCAAAATGGCAATTGACTGAATTCACAAAGAACACTATGGGATAATTCCCTTTTCCATGAAACTAAACTATAAGAAAGATATTGAGCCCTGGCTGGTTTGGCTCAGCGGTTAGAGCGTCGGCCTGTGGTCCAGAGAGACCCGGGTTCGGTTCCCGCTAAGGGCACGTACCTCGGTTACAGTTTGTCCCCAGCCCGGCTTGGGGTTGTGCGGAAGGCAACCACTCAATGTGTCCCTTTCATGTCGATGTTTCTCTCTCTCTCACTTCCTCTCTCCCACCCACTCTATCTGAACAAAAATGGAAAAATGTCCTGGGGTGAGAAAAAAAAAAAAATGATATAACATAGACACTAATGTTCCCCAAACAAAAGCCATGATGACCAGAAACAGAGGGAGCACCTGACTGTTACCCACAAGATCTGGAGAGGACAGTTCTGGACACTCACCTCCACGGCTGTTTCAGAACTGCTTTTCCTCCCCTGTCCTGCTGAACTGGGTCACGGGCTCTCCTTTTTAAATCTCTTAACCCGGAGAAAACTTCACCTATCAGGAGGGATGGGCCTGCCCACCGAGAACTGTGATTATGCTCTGTGGTCACCTTCACAACATAGCTTATGACTTCAACTGGATGACATCATCTTGTAAGTCGGCACTCCACTGCTTTGGCCTGGATCACAACCAAGGTATACTTACCCCGAATCCTGTTTCTCATCACTTACTATCTACCCCAGGCAGAGGAGCAGTTGTGACTGTTGGGTGAGTACCACCTGGTACAAAGGCAATGTTTCTTTTTAGGGAGAGCCACCAAAGTTGTTCCTTCTTTGGTACTCAAAAACCTTCCTAGACTCCTCCCTTTCTACAGGATGAAGTCAAACTCTCCCTTGGCATTCCTGGCCTCAGAAAATCTGACACCACTTAGGTCCCCCTCACCCCTCATCTCCAACTCTGTCCCAAGAAAAACATGCAGCTATAGGCAGTGTCTTCCATTTCCTAAATATAGCAGGCTGTTCCCACCTCTGAGCCTCGGCTCACGGGTCAGCCCGTGAGTCTCCTCTGCCTAACCAAACCCTTGTTCCTTGAGAAGTCCTGGGACACTGCTCTCTCCTCTAAATCCTGACGGCACTTACCATCATGGCCACTTATTATGTTATTAAATTGTGTGCAGTCTCACTTTAGAGATGACTAACTTACCTGTCAATAGTCCCTAAGACAATAAACTCCTAGAGAGGAAGGACTGTATACAGTATATATAAGCCCCTGCCCGGCTTAAGTCATAGCTCATAGTGCTACCAACATGGTAGGCCGTCAATACAGTGAGATGAATGAATGAACAGATGGTGGCGACAGAAGGAAGCCCTTGGGAATTCCTCATCCTCTGGCTGGAGCCTGCACACATTCCCTGGGTTCAAACCCTCTCTTCACGGAAGGCCGTCACTCCCAGGGACTTAGGAGAGCTCCATTCAGTAAAGCACCGACGTAATCCCTAAGTCCTAAACATCTGTACAGTGAAAAAATATACTGTACACAATGGGAAGGTGATTCACCTCATTTCTATCACAAACGGACACGATGGGGCGCCGGGGACAGTGAGTTTTCCTCAGGACACGGGAAGTGGAGCCTTTACTTGCTCTCTCAGGCAACTCTCCTCTTCTTCCGGGGTTGTAATTTTTACAAAATGAAATAAACCCAACTTCCCCCTTTATGAAAGTAATATTCTTTTTTGTTTATCCTCACCCAAGGACTCTTTTTTCATTTTTTGTTCAGATAGAGCAGGAGGGAGAGAGAGAGAGAGAAACATCGATGTGAAAGGGACACATCCAGTGGCTGCCACCTGCACGACCAACCAGGGCCGGGGACAAACTACATGCCCTTAGCGGGAACCGAACCCGGGTCTCTCTGGACCGCAGGCTGACACTCTAACCGCTGAGCCAAACTGGCCAGGGCGAAAGTAATATTCTTATACAGGGTGGCAAAAGTAGGTTTACAGTCAGGAGTACTTAAAACACAGTTTACTTTTGTAGTATTATTTATTAATTATTGCATTATTTTCCATACAAAAAACTATAAAACTACTTTTGCCCCACCCTGTGTATGCTACCTACTTGAGCAAAAAACCACAACATTCTCCATAAAAACAATGTTCCTTCTTCACTGTATCTTGCTGACTATCCAGAAAGATTCAGGACACGAGGCCAGGAAAATGAAACGAGTCGGGACCCTAAATCCACCATACGCACTCAAACATGGTGAGTGTCCAAGTCCAAGTCCAAGTGCTCGTCGGCAGAAGGGCTGAGTCGTTCTTGTCTTCTGCGAGCACCCCCGGTCTCCGATGGACAGCATTCTCCCTTGTTCCGTCCAGGCGATCGAAGCCGGCTTGGAAGAAACACACCCTGCAAAGAGAGCCACACAGACTGCCTGGGTTTCCCGAGCACTGGACGGAAAACAATTTTCACAGCTGCTTTTGTCCCCTAGCAACATGAGAGCAAAGTTAGGTTAAAAAAACGGAAACCCTTACTGTTATTTCTGCAATCACGCTTGTCTAATTCAATAAATATTTACTCTGCTGAGTTCCAGGTATTAGGGCTGTAACAGTGAACATGTTCCTGTCTTCATGGAACTGATATTAGGTCATTTAGAAATATCACAATTAATTTTGAGTCCTCACAGCTGCCCTGTGAAATGGGTTTAAGTGGGTGTTGTGTGTAACCTGCTGGGTCTCTAAAATATTGCAAAAATGTCTAATTTGTGCAATTTCATTCAGCAAAGTATATCAATGACAGAACTAAAAAAAAAAAGGAAACCTTTGATGTAAAGTAGAGCATAGGGACTATAGTCAATAACAGTGTAATAACTATGCATGGTGTCAGGTGGGTTCTAGACTTATCAAGGTGATCATTTTATAAGTTATATAAATGTCTAGTCACTATGCTGCACATCTGATAATACTGCATATACACTGTGACTGGAAAATACATTTATTTTTTTAAAGTTGATTAAAAGAGACAAATAACTAAAAAAAAGAAATCCTCAAAATTACATGAATGACAATATAGTATAGCCTAACCAAGACTGTTTAAATGCTCTCTGCAATATTTTACAAAATTAAAGGAAACGGAGAAACTAGGGAATGATAAGGTTTTGAAAAGGCTGACGGATCCAGGGGAAAAGTATCCTAAAGTGATTTTTAGGAGAACATGAGTAGAATAAAACGCAAAATCGAAGGGGTCAAGGAGGGAACCTGGACCACTAAACTTTTGTGATTTAACTCTTCACATCCAAGGACACTAACGCCCGAGGTGCCAACACTCTTGATCAGTGAAGGAACTGGGAGATGGTTAAGTGACCGACTGTGAGTGTAATGTGTCTAAAGACATATGCCTGAAGGGAAGGCTTCCTAGAAAGCAGTGCAGCAAGCCCTGGCCAGCATGGCTCAGCGGTTAGAGCATCGGCCTGCGGTCCAGAGAGACCTGGGTTCGGTTCCCGCTAAGGGCACATACCTCGGTTGTGGTTTGTCCCCAGCCCTGGTTGGGTCGTGCAGGTGGCAGCCACTCGATGTGTCCCTTTCACGTCAATGTTTCTCTCTCTCTCTCGCTCCCGCTCTATCTGAACAAAAGATGAAAAAATGTCCTCGGGTGAGAAAAAAAAAGAAAGCAGCACAGCGAAGTCAGGAGACGCAGCAGCTGTCCTACCGTGGCTCGGCCCTGGGACCAGTGTTCCTCAGAGTGAACTGTGGACCCGGCACAGCATCAGAAGCACCTGAAGTGCTTGCTGCAAATGTGCATGCCGGGGCCTGGGCCCGCTAAATCCTCATCTTGGGGCTAGGAGCTGAACTCCTGTAAAGACAGTCATTTATAAATAACACCGACCGGTTTTCCACATTTGGGAAAATCAGACTGGATTCTCCAAGTCCAAGGACATTAATTGTGATAACTCGAAACAACACCAATCAGCACAGGGCTCTAGTTTCTCCCAACCTACTAGCATCGGTCTCCTGGCTTGACCTCTAAATGTCGGGGTGTCCTGGGGCTCTGTCTTATCTACATATTCCCTCTAGATGATCCCAAGTAGTCCCAAGGGTTGGAGCGGGAGATAGAGAATTCAGAGAATTATTAAGACTGGGGGCAGAGACATCACTAGATAAAAGTTAAATACTCCCAGGCCATTACAGGAAGTTAAGGAGACATTCTGAATGTAACAAAGCATAGTATCATATTCACCCACCCAAGAGCTGATAAAGGGAGGAAAGCCTATTACTATTAGGTTGGTTCCCAAAAAGTGATTCCTTAGGAGCTCATCTTACCCAGGGAATCAAGGGTCTCATAATTGGTCTTCATCACCTGTTGATACATTTCTTTCTGCCACTTCTCCAGGAGCTCCCACTCTTGCTTTGAAAAATATAAGGCCAGTCATCAAATGTCATGGTTACCTGGAAGCACAAACAGTACATTAATATTTTCACTTTAAAGCTATTTTGTCTTGCAGTACCTTTGTCTTTAACAGACAGGAAGGAACTCTATTGAAGCAGTTGTCTCTTCCCCCGGAGCCCCTGCCCCACCCCTGAAACGGCGTCCCATATTCAGAAATGTGCTGACTCATCTCTTTCAATGCCTTCATTTTCACTGAACAAGCCTTTGCTATGGAAGAGTTGGGAGTTTCTTTTTCCCTGCCTCCCCAACCCCGCAAAGAAAACCCATACATTTTAGGGATGTTTGTGCATACAGGCTCTTTCATCCATATGGAACTTGTTTTGAAGTGTTTCCATTGTGGGTGTGTCTTCCTGTAAATATTTGTTCATATTTTTGTGAATTTAATACTACGTACCAGCCTGGCTGGTGTGGCTCAGTGGCTGAGCGTCAACCCACGCACCAAGAGGTCACTGGTTTGATTCCCGGTCAGGGCACATGCCAGGCTGTGGGCCTGATCCCCAGTGGGGGGCATGCAGGAGGCGTCCAATCAGTGTTCTCTCTCATCGATGTTTCCATCTCTCTTTACCTTTCCCTTCCCCTCTCTCTAAAATCAATAAAGAAAAAAAAAATACTATGTACCATTGTATTATAGTAACTTTTATAAAGCCAAAAAAATAGTTGTCTCTGGATGGTGCCATAAATTACAAAAAAAAAGGGGTCAGAGATGTCTCTTGGAACCAAGTGAATGAATAAATGAATAGCAGCAGGTCTTTGAGCACATTAACCATCTGATGGGAGGACCCTTCATTTAGCAGCAGCAAATTATTGTCATGTTGACGGGACAGATGTTGCTAGATATATCAATTAGAATTTATTTTGAGCCTAGCTGGTGTGGCTCAGTGGTTGAGCATGGACCCACACACCAAGAGGTCGCCGGTTCGACTTCCGGTCAGGGCATATGCCCAGGTTATGAGCCAAATGCACAGTGGGGGGCATGCAGGAGGTGGCCAATTGATGTTCTCTCTCATTGATGTTTCTATCTTTCTCTCCTTTACCCTCTCTGTAAAATTGATAAAGAAAAAAAATTTTTTAAATTTATTTTGTAATAATTATAGATACACAGGTAGTAACAAAGATAGTACAGAAGGGTTCCCTGTACCCTTCACCCAGTTTACCCCAATGGTCACATGGCACATTATTATAGTACAATATAAAAACCATGAAATTGAAATTGACATTGGTATAGTGAGTGTATAATTCTAGAAGATTTCGCCACATACTCTGATTTCCCACCTCTGTACCTGAACTTTTCACCCTGTTAACAGGAATTTCCCAGAGCTGTTAGAGTGTCGGCCTGCACGCCCTGGCTGGTTTGGCTCAGCAGTTAGAGCGTCCACCTACGGTCCAGAGAGACCCGGGTTCGGTTCCCGCTAGGGGCATGTACCTCGGTTGCAGTTTGTCCCCGGCCCTGGTTGGTCGTGCAGGTGGCAGCCACTCGATGTGTCCCTTTCACATCGATGTTTCCCTCTCTCTCTCTCTTCCTTTCTCTCCCTCCCACTCTGTACAAAAAATGGAAAAATGTCCTCGAATGAGGATAAAAAAAAGAGTGTCGGCCTGCAGACCAGAGAGACCCAGATTGGGTTCCCGCTAAAAAAAAGGGGTCAGAGATGTCTCTTGGAACCAAGTGAATGAATAAATGAATAGCAGCAGGTCTTTGAGCACATTAACCATCTGATGGGAGGACCCTTCATTTAGCAGCAGCAAATTATTGTCATGTTGACGGGACAGATGTTGCTAGATATATCAATTAGAATTTATTTTGAGCCTAGCTGGTGTGGCTCAGTGGTTGAGCATGGACCCACACACCAAGAGGTCGCCGGTTCGACTTCCGGTCAGGGCATATGCCCAGGTTATGAGCCAAATGCACAGTGGGGGGCATGCAGGAGGTGGCCAATTGATGTTCTCTCTCATTGATGTTTCTATCTTTCTCTCCTTTACCCTCTCTGTAAAATTGATAAAGAAAAAAAATTTTAAATTTATTTTGTAATAATTATAGATACACAGGTAGTAACAAAGATAGTACAGAAGGGTTCCCTGTACCCTTCACCCAGTTTACCCCAATGGTCACATGGCACATTATTATAGTACAATATAAAAACCATGAAATTGAAATTGACATTGGTATAGTGAGTGTATAATTCTAGAAGATTTCGCCACATACTCTGATTTCCCACCTCTGTACCTGAACTTTTCACCCTGTTAACAGGAATTTCCCGCTAAGGGCACATACCTCGCTTGCAGTTTGTCCCCAGCCCTGGTTGGGGTCCTGTGGGTGGCAGCCACTCGATGTGTCTCTCTCCCTCCCAGTCTATCTGAAGATAAATGCAAACAAACAAACAAAAAACTATTATAAGCCCACAAAGCTGAAGAATCAGCTAGTATAACAAAAAGGTTTAAACCTGGTGTTTTTATAAGATGGGACTTTCAAAGAAATTCCTCTACTGTTTTCCTGCACCTCATCCATGTGCTTGCCTCCTACAAGGCTCATCTGTGAACATACAGTTAGCACCGAACTGCTCCAGTGAAAAGTAAAATCAACTAGAAAGTGCTGACTTCTCCTTACCTATTACAAATAATCCAATAGGCAAGAAGTTGGCATAATCTGAGCTTCTTCTGTGGACTCAAATTTACAGCCAAAAAATTGCCACAAACCACCAAATTGCACCCAACAGAGGGATATTCCAGGTTTCCAATCCTTTAGAGAAGGAAGTCTAACTGAAGTGACAGCTTGAAGAAATCTGAACAGAATATGTACCTGCCAAGGGATGGGGGTGAAGGTGGGGGGTTGCCGTGGAGGAAAATGCAATACACTAGTGAGACTATTAGATATGAAACCTCAGGGGGGGACAAAGTAAACTTGCACACTCGGGCAGGTGATATACTTAATTGAACATACAGAGAGTTTCCCGCATTAAGCTCAGGATATGCCTTTAAACGCCAAAGCCAGAGTTCACACTTTCCACGGACACACTCGAGTCGTCGCGGTGAAGGTGACTTGGGATAACCCCCAACCTGGCGGTGCCCCGTCTGCCTTCCGTCTCCCTGGTTCTCATTCGCTGATGATGTACTTCACTGAGGTCACCTTTCCAGCACCGACACCACGACGTTCGAGGAGGGAGAAAGAGCGGGAACAGAGGCGGTTTTAAGCGGACCGGCCAAGACCCCGCATTTTTCCTGCACAGAAACCTCGCTTCTCCGGCCGGGGCTCCCGCCGCCTCCCTCCCTGCACGTGGGCCGCAAGAGGGACCGGAGACCACGCAGGGCCTGCCACCTCCACGGCCGCTCTTACCGGACGCACCATAGCCCGTTGCGGCTCCGCCCAGCACCGACCCGGACCGGTAACACAGCACGCCCTCAATCCGGGTTCCGCCCGCTCCGCCCACCCGCGCAGGCCCGCCCCCGCCCCAGCGCGGTGCACGCTGGGACGAGCGGCCGGCCAACGCCCCGTCCCACAGCGCCCCCTGCGGCCGGGAGGAGCGAACGCCGCCTGCAGGAGCCGCCCAAGTTGCGACTACCAGCAGGGGGGCCCCAGCTAGGAAGCCAGGGTAGCCGCCGCCTGTCGGGGACCCATCTTCGCACTGTTTTGTGGCCTCAAGGGTGGCAGACAGAGACCGAGGCGAATTGAAAGAGCTGGAGCTCTGGCCGGTGTACCAAAGGGTTGCTTTCCCGGTCAGGACACGTGCCTGGATTAAGGCCTCGGTCCCTGGTAGGGAGCATGCAGGAGGCAGCCGATGATGCTTCGCTCTCACTGGGATGTTTCTCTTTCTCCCTCTCCAAAAATCAATACAAATATTATTTTAAAAAGAAAGAGCTGGAGAGGGACGGAGACGAGGGTGGAAATGTTGTCAGCTGGAAAAGGATGGAGAGTGGATGGGGACAGAACAATTCACTGAGAAAGAGACAAAGAGAGAGTGCGGGGGTTTGGTTCCTCCCCAAAGCCCACCCAGTCATCTATGAGATGACCCCAGAAATTAAGCCAGGTTGGTGAGACAATCAAGAGGCATTAACAAGCAGGTCCCATGTGGACAATTGGAGGCCCACCCTGCTGGGGACTCAGAGTGTGCAGAACACCCTTAAGAACTGCACCTGCTGGGAGGTCGGATATTCCTCCAAGTCCTGTCCCTCATCAATCTGGGCACTTCTGGTCAACCGGGACACAGGCCAAGCTGACATTAATTATCTGTTTTTGCGAATATCTCCTGTCAGGTTGAGGGAGTTCCTTCCCATTCCTAGTTTGATGAGAGTGGGTGTTTGATTTTCTCAAATGCTTTTTCTGTATCTCTATATATTATAATGTGGTTTCAACAAATGAATTTTGGGGGGACAAAAACATTCAGTTTAATATAACCCAGGGAAGGATTTCCTAAATACAACCCCAAAATAAAAACTTATATGAGATAAATTTGATGATATCAAAATTTAAATTTTCATCTGACAAAAAATTCCTTAAACAAGAGACTCTGGATTGTGAAACACATACAATAGAGAATAGATTTGAACCAGAATATAAGAAATGAAAAAAATTATGGAGCTCTATGGCACAACAGTATGAATATACATAATACTGCTGAATGGCCCATGTAAAATGATAAATTTTATGTTTTGTGTTTTTTACCACAATTAAAATAACAGAAAAGGTTATTTTATGACCAATAAAGATGTGAAAAGATGATCAACTTTGCTAAGAATCAGAAAAATTAAAATTAATTATTTTATTTATTATTTTTTATCCTCACCCAATGGTATTTTTGCATTTATCTTAATAGAGCAGAGGGAGAGAGGGAGAAGAGAGAGCGAGAAACATCGATGTGAGAGACACATCAGTTGGCTGCCACCGCACAACAAGAGGGCTAGGGTCAAACTGCAACCGAGGTACATGCCCTTGACGGAAACAGAACCCAGGACTCTCTGGTCCATAGGCCAATGCTCTAATCGCTGAACCAAACTGGCCAGGACATGAAAATTAATTTAAACAATAGAGAGGCACAACTTTCACTCCCCTCTCAAAACTTAGGATAGAGATTTAACTGGATCAAGGCTTGATGAGAAGAAATGGTATTTTCATTTGCTCACAATGGGAGTATAATTGGAGCATATATATTCTCACTATGAAGAAAAACTTGCCAATAAAAATAGTAAAGCAAATGTAAAAATTACATGGAACTATAATAGTAAAGTTAAAAGTGTGCATACAATTCAGGAATTTCAGAGTCTATCCCCTTGAGAAGCTCTAGCATGAGTGCACCAGGAGATATGTACAAAGATGTCATTGCAGCATCATCTGCAAAAAAACAGGAAACATTCCTTGTATGTCCATTAATAGTGGAATAGATAAATAAAACTTTTGCACTTCTATAATGTAATCAAATAAAGCACTTCAAGGTAGTTTCAACTGAGCTCAGGGTAAATCGGCACAGACACGAGGCAGGAGGAAACCTCACAGTCCGTCTGACCTCAGGACTGTCCCACCACCAGGTCGAAGAGGGTCAGGTTGTTGGAGGTCGGAGAGCGTGGCTGAGAAACACTTCTCTGGACAGATGCGCTGTGAGGACCACTCTTCTGGAGGGGAAGAGTTGGGGTGCTCTCTCCGCCCCTTGAGTCTCAGGAAGGGGCTTCACGGAGTCCCCTAGAGGGTTTGGTCACATGTGCTGGAGCTGGGTTTGCAGTGAGCTGTGTCCAGCTCTGCAGGCGGAGTGGGGGAGGCCACTCTGGGGTCAGCGGGTACTGCCAGAGTGTGTGGGAATAAAAGGCACACGAGGGTTCCCCGGGCTACACAGGAGAGAGCCACTTGGGAGCAACGACAAACTCTGCACAGGAGGATGGATGGGGCATGGACCCAACACACAGAGTCTGTGACACAGAGCCCCGAAAGCCAGGAGAAAACGCACGCCCCGGCCTGAACGCCCTGGCGTGTTCCCCGTGGAGGCCTCGCAGGAATCCCGAGGAAACACCCAGGGGCAATTTCAGACACTTGCCCCTCCAGAGAAAGCACATCTACCTTTCTACAGCCTCATCTAGGGAGAGCTTTCCTCCCCTCCCCCTCTCCTCCCCTTTCTTCCCCCACCCTGAGTGCTGGGAATGAACTGCTAGGTAGTGGGGGAGAGATGAAGGACCACCTCCCCCCTCTCCCACTGCTAGGGGAGGACAGAAGGTGAAATCAATTTCACAGTATTGACTGCTAGGGGGGATGGGACATGTTGATTACTGAAATCAGACAGCAACCACGGGGCTTCCTGTTACCTAAGCTTGATCATTAAAGTCACTTGGACAAGAGCAGTATGTCACGGAGAAAGTTTAAAGGGACAGCAATGAGAGGAAAAGATGAGGTTGCTTTGCTTTGCTTTTCACCTCTTGAGGCCCACAAGTGCAGTGTACCAGATGCAAGAGCAACACAGGTAGCTCTCAGAGATGACGTCACGTGCAGGAGCATTTAAGATGCAGAACAACATCTTCAGCCACTGGGGTTTTAAAAACACCCAGAACAATACTGGATATTGTTTATGGATAGTCAGATAGGAACATAGAAGAATTCAAGAGAGGGACTTGTATCTAGAATACATAAAGAGCTCTCCAAATTCAACAAAAAGTCCAATTAGAAAGTGGTCAGACATGAACAGACATGTCACTGAAGAGGCTACACAGATGGCAAATAATCACTTGTCCCTGGCTGTTTCTGCTCAGTGGTTAGAGCGTCAGCCTGCGGACCAATGAATCTCAGGTTTGATTCTGGTCAAGGACACATACTTCGGTTGCGGTTCGTCCCGGCCCTGGTCAGGTTGTGCGGGAGGCAACCAGTCCATGTGTCTCTCTAACATTGATGTTTCTCTCTCTCTCTCCTTCTGTCTCTCCCTCCCTCCTTCCTACATTATCTGAAGATAAATGGGTAAATATCTTCAGGTGAGGATTAAAAAAATAAATTAAATTAAATTAAATGAGCCCTCAAAGAAGTGTCAGCATCATCGCCATCACAGAAGTGCCGACTGAGACCTAAGGGAGGTGTAACCACACATCTGTCCGCAGGACCGAAATACAGAGGGTGACAACATCAAGTGCTGGTGAGGATGCAGAAAAGGGCTCGCTCACGCAGGGTGCTGAGAATGTAAGATGGTGCAGCCACTCTGGAAAACAGGGCAGGGGGGCAAGCTCGTGCCAAACTACATACACGCTTACTCATGCGAAGGTTGATTTTATGTGTTACCTTGACGGGGCCACGTGGAGCTCAGGTATTTGGTGAAACAGCACTCTGGGTGTGTCTGAGAGGGTGTTTTTAAACGAGATTAACACGGGGAGGCCTGTTGCCACGTCAGAGGAAACATCAAGCAGCCCTGTGAAGAGGCCCATGTGACAAGGATCTGAACCTCCAGCCACAGCCGGTGAGGAACCGAGTCCTCCTTCCAAGGTCATGTGAGTGTTCAGCGCTTAGACTGTTCCTCCAGCCCCAGTCAAACCTTCAGATGAGCAGCCTCAGCTCATCCGCAACCTCAGGAGAAACCTGAACCAGAACCGCCCAGCCGAGCCACCCCCAGATTCCTGAACCTCTGAAACTGCGAGATACAATAAAGATTTATCATTCGAAGCTGCGAGATTCTGGGTATTTGTTACGCAGCAGCATCTAACTAATACAGGGTCCTTCTGCCAGGGATCCTGACACACTCCCCCAGAATCAACCAAGCCTCTGGACCTCTTGGGGAAAGCACAAGAAAGAAGCCATTTGGTGATGAGAGGGACATTCAAAGGAACAAAGGTTTAGAAAATGCATGTCATCATGGATGGGAGGGAAAGGCTAAAGGAAAGACAGGAAGGAAAGTGAGCTGTGACGGCAGGATACACAAGACACAAAGCGGACATACAAACTGAGGTTCAGATGCCGTAAACAGATGTGGAATCCGGAGGGGCGGTGGGGGAGGCAGTCTCGGTTCCGCACTGTGGGTAACTGGAAAGTAATCGCCACCGAAAAGCAGGTGAAGAACAGGCTAGTCCTTGCTCATGAAGCATCAACCTGCCTCTGGGCTTCATCTTCTGCTGGATAGACCCAGCCAGGCACAGACTTTGCTGCCTCACATGGAACCTTCAGTGACCTTCCAAGCGGGTGCCAACCAGGGAAGGTGCCTTTTTGGAGAAAGAGAATGGTGATGGCATAAGAGTTGCAAGGACAGTTGAGCAGGACTGGCAGCTCCCTGCTGAGTCAGAATCCACAGCCCACGTAGACGGGAGTGTAAAGAACTTGATTAACTATACACCATTAT